CAGGCGATTAAGAGCAGATATGACCCTGATGGCTTGCTCTGGTGCCGTCATTGTGTTGGTAGTGAGGCGTGGAAGGAGCAAGTGGATGGGAGGTTGTGTCGGGCTTTTTAGGGTGTATATGGAATGATGGCAGTGTACTAATAGCGTGGGATTAGTTGTAGTATAAATATATAAAGAGACTTTAACTGATCAAAATTGAACATTGAAAAGTTACAGTCACCCTTTGACATTTAAACTATAACAATATGTATCCTCTTAGTATACTGCCTTATAAGAGTCAATGCCTATTTTCAGTCATGATCCATTCATAGTGTGAAGTCTAAAAAAAAGTCGTCAAATCATTGGATATCTTAAGATGTTGATGAACCCCATCCGAAGTCAATACTATAAGGAGAGTAATATACTATTATAATTGTCATATCTTCAACGATTAGTCAGTGTGGCCGAGTGGTTAAGGCGATAGACTAGAAATCTATTGGGTTCGCCCGCACAGGTTCGAGTCCTGTCGCTGACGTTTCTTTTTTGTTTTTCTTTTTTTGCTTCCCCCTTCATCCATGAACGTTATTGAAATTTTGTATATTGCAAATTCTCATTCTTTCGAATGTTTTCTGTGGGTGTACCTCTTTTCAATCCTGAAGTCCACCGTGGTATTGGTGAGTTGAGTGATACAAATACTATTATTACCCAGTCACCCCTTGGATGTAAGTAGCTATTTTGAAGGTGATGTGACCATTACCTGTACTACTATTTTAAGTAAATGCTTTTTATTTTAATTACGCCTGTATCTCTATTATCAATTCATAATGTTAATAGATATCAGTTATACGAAGCGAGTGACACCTGAACCTATTAGTAGTTGTGTTGGTGATTCCGCAGCCGCAACTCAACCGATAAACCAGCTGTACCATTCATTACTCCTCGAAAACATAGAACAGCAGATAAAAACAGCAGACATGGACCTAGTCCTTTATCAACAACAACTAACAACACAAACCACTCTACGAGGGTCTGACAAAATTAACTTAACCTCCGCCGCAGATATTTCACAATGGGAGACCAGACATCCAATCAACCGCTCCGATGGCGTCAGCAACGAGCTCTCTCTCGCAACCCTTTAGCGCAGGAACACCACGCGTCGTCCTTGATACCCCCTCACTATACACTCAATTGACCAATAACTGAAGCCAACAACATATAGGATCCCCGTGTATACCCCCCGCTACTAGTACAAAGTAGTTGTGCCAATTGCCCCTCATCGTCCCATCCAGATAATCAATACCCGGACCGACAATTCCAACCACCTACTAGACACTTATATCCCACAACCCCCATCCCCCTCATGAACAAACAAAATACACTCAAGCCATAATCAAAAAATGACAATCAGAATTCTTCATCCTCAAGCCCCCACAACCCTCTCTCCACCACCCACCATGCCACCCTCATCCCGCCCCAACATCCTCTTCATAATGGCCGACGACCACGCCTCCAAAGCCATCAGCGCCTACAACACCAACATCAACCACACCCCCAACATAGACCGACTCTACCACGACGGGATGAAATTCAACCACTGCTACGTGACCAACTCCATCTGCACCCCCAGCCGCGCCACCATCCTTACAGGCACCCACAACCACGTAAATGGGGTCATGACCCTGGACAGCAAGATTAACAAACACCTGCCTAATGTCGCCAAACACCTACGCACCGGCGGCTATCAGACCGCCATGATCGGCAAATGGCATCTAGGCGAGGGGGAGGATCATGAACCCACAGGCTTTGACTACTGGAGCGTGGTCCCGGGACAGGGGAGGTATTTTGATCCGGAGTTTATTGAGATGGGTGGAGAGAAGGTGGTTGAGCCGGGGTATGCGACGGATGTTATTACGGATAAGTGTTTGGGGTGGTTGAAGAATAGAAGCAATGGGGTTGGGGAGAAGAAGCCGTTCTTCCTCATGTGTCATCACAAGGCGCCGCATCGGTCATGGGAGTGTCATCCTGCTCATCGGGGACTGTATCAAGAGGATGTGGTGATGCCGGATACGTTTGATGATGATTACAAGAACCGGGTGAAGGCCGCGGAGGTAGCTAAGATGCGGATTGAGAGTGACATCACGTACTTCGATCTGGGGCTAGTGCAGCCTGAGGGAGGCGCTGAGGTAGGGGAGTTGTTTGGGGGTCGGTCCACCGATAGGAAGATTCCGAATGTGTCTGATGCGGATATCGACGGATTCCGGTTGATTGATAAGGATACGGCGGAGGTGTTTACGTTCAAGAGTAATGAGGAGCTGCGCCGATTCAAGTATCAGCGGTATTTGAAGCGGTATTTGCGGACGATTCATTCAATTGATGAGAATGTGGGGAGGTTGTTGGAATACCTGGATGAGGAGGGGTTGGCGGAGAATACGGTGGTTATTTATACCTCCGATCAGGGGTTCTTCCTGGGTGAGCATGGCTGGTTCGATAAGCGGTTCATGTATGAGGAGTCGTTCCAGATGCCGTTTCTGATAAGGTACCCTAAGCTTATCAAGCCGGGATCGGTCTGCGATGATATTATCTCTAATGTGGACTTCGCGGCGACTTGGTTGGATCTTGCTGGGCTGCGGATTCCCTCATACATGCAGGGTGTGTCGTTTGCCCCGCTGCTTAAGGGGGAGACGCCGGCGAATTGGAAGCAGGTCGCGTACCATCGGTATTGGATGCATCGGGATCCTATTCATAATGCGTATGCTCATTATGGGGTCCGCAATCAGCGGTATAAGTTGATTTATTGGTATGCGGAGGATTTTGACTTGCCGGGAACGCAGGAGGGTGGACAGCCGAAGGAGTGGGAGTTGTTTGATTGTGAAAAGGATCCTCTTGAGTTGTTTAATGTGTATCATGACACAAAGTATGCGGATGTGGTGGTTGAGTTGACGAGGCTGTTGGATGAGACGATGCTGGAGATCGGGGACACCCCGGTGCATTGAGGGATGTGTATAGTACGTATATTTAGGGGGGGTTAGACAATAATCAGGTAGAGTAAGAGGCGCCTATAAATTGTGTATGGAGTGAGTAGGAAGTGAGAAATAGAGAGTATAGAGTGACTTCACGATTAAGCCATGTATAATCCTATAAGTCTAACTGTATAGTAAAAGGATAATGACAACATGATTCCATATTGAAGAGGTGCATCAAAACAATGACTTCACTCTATCACAACGCCCTCGAGGATTCGGAGCTGTGGCGTTGGATTGAAAAGACTGACTGAGATGAGTTAGTGAGAAGTCGAATGCTGCTGCTTCAGTCTTCCCTTTACACACATTGTTGTACTGATTAGTGTGTAATCCAATCTCCATACTGCATCGTTGGCCCCGTCAGAGATGTTTGTGGTTGCCTTCTCTTTCTGAGGTGTACACTACACTGTAAGCTAAAACTGTCATCGTACATTTCCAACCAGCCGTACTGGTATCAATGCGAGATCATTACGGCTTTGCACCTTCATGTTACACCCCTGATTGTTAAAAGTAGGATATGTCGCTCAAATGCCACTCTTGAAAATTTTGGGAGAAGATACCGTCACGCTGAAGTGCATTTCCTGCTTCTCCGTATAAGGGGCCCCAGGATCATACCACCCACAGCTCCCCAGGCCAGTCCCACCATAGCCAAGACTTTTACAGGCTAGGCAGGAACGAGTACGCGCCAGCTAACTCTTGGTACTGTATAGCTCACAGCCTGAATGCTTCACCGCCAATTATTTTGTGATGATGTTGACTCTTTACTCAGGACGTTGTCTCGCATGCAGACGTCCAAGAGCTTCTCGCTTCGCCGGCAATATAGGCAAATCACTAAAGGAGAAATACTACATTGTCGAGATTGTATATAAATTAATCTCTACTTCGACTGTACCCTAGACCATTCCCGATTTCACGTTTCGAAATACGAAAATACGAGAAAACCTGTATATTGCCCCCTCAGACGGCGCTGCATCGGACAACTCCAAGTCCGAGACTGAGTAGTGCCTCTATAGCCGACGATAGCGGACGGGGCATGTTACACCCCCCCTAGTACCCCCCGGAAGCAGATGGCTTGCGAATCCCGTTCTGCCAAGAAAGACAGATAAGTTAAGCTCATTTACGGGTGGATAATTGTGCTTGACTCTGATAATAGTCTTAGAATCCCGCGAATACCACCAACCTTGAATCTCTTAGCTATCTTGGACCTGCTCCACTCTGGTATTCCCCAGCAACTCAAGAATATGTAAAAGATGCATTCTGCTTCGTGGAAAAACCTTTGTCGATGAACTCCGTGTCTAAAGCAGTTCGCTCTTGCAGGGCCCTACGGGTTGATCGACACAGCTCCTTCGCTTGGATGGTAGGACACGAACCAGTGATGTAGCATGTATTAGCCACAGATGTATAATGATGCTCGACAGAGTGCAGTGATTAGCTCCAGCAAAACGGATCGTATCAATTTACTGGCGGTTGAGACCGCCCGGAGTTCGACAACACTTAATATCGCGGTTTTCTTGGCAAAAAGAAGTCTAGTCCAGAGCTGACCTCGACACGGGTGAGATATGTGTGACAAATTAACTGATATTAGAAGGCAGATATTGATTCCCTTGCCATGCACAGCATCACTTTGTTCCAACCAGTGTGATCCCCTGGAAGTACAACGGGGTTGAGGTTTCACACTTCCATGGATCCAGGTTAGGGTTGGTGCCGACCCACTGCGGGCCCGGAAGATGAAGAAATTGAAGGTGAGAATAGAAAGATTCCTGCGACGCCACAGCCCACAATATCATCCCACTGCATTGCATTACCCCATGGGCTTGTAAGACATGAGATGGTCGGCTATCGGAGAAGCTGGCATGATCGCGTATCGGAAGAATGTCTGCGTTCGTGTGCACAATATTCCTTAAATTTATCCGATGATCAGCCGAGGAACCAGGGTCGAACCCCTGAAAGGAATGTCGCCGAAAGGATCAGCCAAATTGATTCGCGGACCCTGTAAATGCCCTAAAGAGTCTCTGCCAGCGTCTCGATAGTGGGATCGGCAGTGGCAGTTTCTAGTCTCGTCAGTGCGGTCTTTTCCGACCGATCCGTAGTGTTGGTGGGTCCCAAAGCAGTCTATATCGATATCATCACCAAATTCCAAGGACCATCGGATGACGAGGAATATGCATTGGCACTGAGAATTGCCGAGATGATACATGCTCTGCCGGTGCATCCACCAAGAATGTTGCGACAGAGTGAAACAGCGTGGATAAGCTGGATGGGGCAGATGGAGGAAGAGAGCAAGACACGGCATCAGCAGTGGAGATGCCGAGCAGTGCCGAGAGCCGCCGATGCTTCGACCTTCAGCCCAAGCGTCAATCAATGCCTTCTTGGGGCGAAGTTGACCGGACTGTAAGCCCGTTAGCGTTTGGGATACGCCGGATGACACGAACCTTGGTGCTTACCAATGCTGCTATGCATGCAGTGCCGGCGGTATCCCTGGCTGAAGCGCCCATCGCCGTTAGAGATTGATACCCGGGTGGATCGGAGGGTCTTCTTGGTCTTTCCACCAATAATGGGGGTATCTCACTGCCTTGCTCAGGAACAGAAGCTTAGCATGATTCAGTATTTCACGTATAAAACTCTCCAGGACTTCCGTCGTTGAGATGCTCTATCCAACAACACCTCACTCTTCCACTCCTTGTCCTTTCTTTCTGTTGACCAGACCCCGTCCATTCTTTTGATCGAAATCTGTTCTGTTGACCAGAACCTATTCAAAAAATCACCATGCACTCCTACCAGCTTCTTGGCCTGGCCGCTGTCGGCTCCCTCGTCTCTGCCGCTCCCGCTCCTTCTCGCGTCTCTGAGTTCGCTAAGAAGGCCTCCACCTGCACTTTCACCTCTGCCTCTGAGGCCAGCGAGAGCATCTCCAGCTGCTCCGATGTTGTCCTGAGCAGCATCGAGGTCCCCGCTGGTGAGACCCTCGACCTGTCCGACGCTGCTGATGGCTCCACCGTATGTATTTCTCAGCTGTCTCTCACCTTCACCAATACGCTAACATCAGCTAGATCACCTTCGAGGGTACCACTTCTTTCGGCTACAAGGAATGGAAGGGTCCCCTGATCCGCTTCGGTGGTAAGGACCTGACTGTCACCATGGCCGACGGCGCTGTCATCGACGGTGACGGTTCCCGCTGGTGGGACAGCAAGGGCACCAACGGTGGCAAGACCAAGCCCAAGTTCATGTACATCCACGATGTTGAGGACTCCACCTTCAAGGGTATCAACGTGAAGAACACCCCCGTCCAGGCCATCAGTGTCCAGGCCACCAACGTCCACCTGAACGACTTCACCATCGACAACTCCGACGGTGATGACAACGGTGGCCACAACACCGACGGTTTCGACATCAGCGAGTCTACCGGTGTCTACATCAGCGGTGCTACCGTCAAGAACCAGGACGACTGCATTGCCATCAACTCTGGAGAGGTATGATAGCGCCCCAACCTTCCAATCGCTGCATATCGCTAACAATACATCTACAGAGCATCTCTTTCACCGGCGGTACCTGCTCCGGTGGCCACGGTCTCTCCATCGGCTCCGTCGGTGGCCGTGATGACAACACCGTCAAGAACGTGACCATCTCCGACTCCACCGTCAGCGACTCTGCCAACGGTGTCCGCATCAAGACCATCTACAAGGAGACCGGTGATGTCAGCGAGATCACCTACTCCAACATCCAGCTCTCCGGCATCACCAAGTACGGTATCGTCATCGAGCAGGACTATGAGAACGGCTCCCCCACCGGCACCCCCTCCACTGGTATCCCCATCACCGATGTCACCGTTGACGGTATCACCGGTACCCTTGAGGACGATGCCACCCAGGTCTACATCCTCTGCGGTGACGGCTCTTGCTCCGACTGGACCTGGTCCGGTGTTGACCTTTCTGGTGGAAAGGCCAGCGATGACTGCGAGAACGTTCCTTCCGGTGCTTCTTGCTAAATTACTCGCTTTGGAGGTGAGGCAAGACGGCGTCCCTAGGATGTCTGGTTGTATATATTGATCCACTTGACATGTACTAGTTAGGTGGGATTACTGCCATAGTGTTAGTGAATAATGGAGCTTTGCTCGATACATGAATTCTTGAAGACATGAATAGTTTGGTAGAGGCAATGGCCTTGGCATTAGTTAATACCTGGCGATGAAGTAATTCGCGAGGTGAATTTGAGCGAGCAATCCCAGCTATATAAGCCGTCATCCATCGCGCTCTAAACTCTCTCTTTCTTATATCTTCCAAATTATGAACTACGCTTCCCCTTAGAACAAGGTCCTTCTCTGTCAATGTCAGATTTCGAAAGTACAATCCGCTATATCTTGGTCACCTCATGATAAGCTATGATAGCACGTTTGAGCAGTGTGCAGCAAGGAAACCTCAAGGTAGAAATCCATGATATACTGCCAGACGCCGACAGCATTTCTATATGAATGTCGTCCTCCGCGGTCTAGAGATTCAAAGTTTGAACTTGACGTTCGTAGTCCACAACGGGGAATATCCTAGTGCTGTTGCCCTGAAAAACAATATCGTATCGAAACGTTGGACGGACAAAGAGAGTCCACTTACGGCCACGGACCACGAAGAGAATACAGTGGAAGCAAGTCATTATACGGATGAAGATTACACAAATGTGAACTGTCTGCAGAAGCAATTATCCGAGGTACAGGCTGTGGTCAGAGCCGAGCAAAAAATCTTTCGACTTGATACCCAGAGACTAACGCACGATAATTATATGCTCATCGCAATACTTCAGTCGGAATATATCAAGAAGCCCCATGTGAGTTCGATCTACAATGTTAAGAGAAATCATATGGATGACTATATGAAAGCCCGGAAGACAGACTAGCTCCGGCAACTTTTGGATGGATGATGTGCTGACCCCAAAGCAGAAGATCGAGCTGAAGCGGAAGTCTAAAAAATATGACCCGTCTGAAACCTACTGGAGGATTGTCTGTATCAACATGGCCCTCCATCTTGCCAAGAGGAAGGAGGCTCCCGTTGACCCAGTGATGCGGCCAAGTGACCTATAAAGGCGAAGAGGCTTGATAATCTTGCTACACCAACGAAGTATACCTACTGCCATCAATTCAGCACAGCCTTCAACAATGCCTCAGTCCACATTTATGTTGAACATACACTGGCACAGAACAACTCGGAATTTCCCTCAGAACAACCCCAATTCTCCGCATCCTTCATAGTGGACAGTGATACGGAAGATTAGCGGAGGGTCCAATGCCAACTTATAGGGCTGCTGCTTACCGATAATCAGCGCAATAAAGACCTCGATCGAAATACCACCTGCTGGTGGACGAGATTTTAAGCGCAGCTGCTATTCCGTGGTGCATCATCGGACCCATCAGAGGTAATGCTAGCCTATCACCGGATTAAAACGCAACCGACGCTTTGTGCTTGGTCAATCTCTGTGACATCATCCGCGGTGAAAGTGTCCTGTCTAGGCCTGGCGAATACTCGGAGCGTTATTCTTATCGACTACAGGACCAAAGTGCTAAGCCCCTCATGAAAACCCGCCAATGAGCCGGCTTTATCTCGCGATCGTCGTTCCTTTGGTGTTTCGCGATCGCTTCGTTCGTTCTTTGCCGTCGTTTCGCGCGTTTTCCATCGTTCCCTTCGTTATCCAACTATCATTTGGTGATCAAGCGTCTTTTCACGTTCTCTTCGTGCCCTTTTCGCCATCGCATCGCGTTCTTTGCCTTGGGTCTCGCGATATGCCTCCTAGGGAGGTTCGTGTTTTGCGGGGGCGGCCTGTTAAGGCGCGCTACCTCTTCTGTATGCACTTCCTGCGCACTGTGAACGGCAATTTCGATGCGGCGGACGGTGTGCCTTATGATGTTGGCTGAGAAAGCTCACCGGAACACATCGCACCTTGAGGCGAGGCATTGAAAGCGCCCGGACACTAGTGATCACATCATACTGGACATGGGAAAGCTGGCATGAACCCCGGGCAGTCAAGGCATGGTGCGCAAAGACAAAAAGCGAGTATGACCCACTGTACCCCAAAATGCCGACATACTCCAGTCCCGTCTATTTGTCGCCGCCGCCGCCTACTACGCCTACTACTACTACAACCACAACTACAACTACAACTACCATGGACTACGGCACTGGTGCCGCTGGCCGAGGAGGAGGCCAAGGAGTAGGAAGAGGAGGAAGAGGAGGAAGAGGAGGAAGAGGAGGAAGAGGAGAAAGATGAGGAAGAGGAGAAAGAGGAGGAAGAGGAGGAAGAGGAGGAAGAGGAGGAAGAGGAGGAAGAGGAGGAAGAGGCCGAGGAATCGTTTGAGATTACAGTCTTTGACGAGGCACATGCTGCGGAACCCGACTTCTAGCCTATCCCTTGCGCTGCAGAGGAGTATATCCAAATATTGGGGTTCTAACAATAACGATATCCTATTTATGCAGTTGGAGTTGGATAGAAACCTCATTGCTTCACATACAACGGGTAAAAATCACCATCTGACTAGCTCGACAGGACAGAATAAAGGCTGTATCGCACAGAAACGGGTAGACTCTACGTTTACTGGACCTTCCCAGTAAATTGCTCATAGTTCTCGGTTGAAGATGGATATGCTCAACTATGCACACGCTGTACATCCTGCCAAGTTGCACCGGCGCAAGTTTATGCGTCGGATCAAAACCCAGAGGTATTTGGAAGCCAAGGTCGAGCTTCATTGTTGAGAAATGAATTACTCCTGGCGGGTCTGAACGTTATCGACGGCTGGGAAATTAGATTCAACGCCTTTCGAGGTTCAAGGCTCCGACGAAAAAGGAATTTGGTACTATCGCCAGAACTCAGAAATCAGATGTCACCAAGCGGAATCCCAAAATGCCATTTCTCTGGACCAATAATGAAGACAGGTGGGAATACACGCAGTGGAAATCCCACAACCCGGTGCTCTTCGACGACGTCGACCGCATATGTCGGCTTCTCAAGGCCTCGAAGAGTGCCCCCTCACCCACTCGAACAATGGGCAGCAAAGCTTGGTAATGTCAGTAATAAATTAAAGGTTCTGCATTATTTCGGGACTCCTAGCTTCACGTACGGGAGCAGAATCGCACGTACAAAGACGATATAGACTGATACAGACTTTCTGCTACTCAGAAGATACATAAGTTATATTATGAGGGCTCGACAGGATAGCTGTCAGAGGCGAGATAGAAGGCTCAGAGCTATGAGACATCATATACACCAGTACTTATCCGTTGTTCACGCCAGATAAGCCACTGCAATGAGCACGCTCCTGCTCACCTTATAAATAACCGGAGGAGTGTCATACCCTATGACTAATATCAAACCTGACACAGGGGTCTCATATGCTTACTTGGTGTTCACCAAGAATGCGTGCCATGTTGCTACTAATTATTCGTGAAAAGTCCTACCAAGCAAGGATAGGCCAAGAGATTGGACATATTCCCCAGATGAGGGAGTATATATGAGTGCGACACAGATAGAAGAGGGGCTAGCCCATGCCACTCTTTATGTTGGTTTGAGCTCCAAGGAGTGCAGTAACATGGCCATATGGTTTGTAACGGAGTGAGCGAGTTGCACGTTCCTACTCAAGGGTTATCCAGTCAACTTAGCGGACATCAACCTACCTCAGTGGAAAGGTATTCACCCGGCAGCCAAATAATTGCATGGTCTTAGTCATGAGCTACCTTATAAGCTCAGCCGGGCTTAATCTCCAAGGGCTTTGCCAGAATTTGCACCTCTTCTCCCCGGCCACCTCCAGGGCTATCCAGAAATAGGCCGTTGGGCGGGCGCTCCGCGTAGGTCAGACACGAACTGTTTTTGTCAATTTCACCATGGGTAACCTCCAGTACTTTGTCATAAATAAGGTGCGGGGGACTACATAGCATAGTGGCTGTAGACAATAAAGGGACAAATATTTGCACATCTTCTGTATATTAATTTCTAATTAGGGTTGTTTTATATTAGTCGAAATTGTACTGAAAGTCGAGACTACATAGTCAGGGGAAAGACCAAAGAAGGGAGTCGGCAAATATACGAAGGGTAGATATGGCAAAAACGCGTGTCTTGGAAATACCTTCTTGTACTAAAATTTGATTTTATTCTTCATAAACCAGTCTCCATCTAGGCAGTGGATCCAAGTTCCGTCATCCTCTGTGCTTCTATCTCCGCCCTGGTTGCTCTGGTAAACCGACCAAAAGACTACGGGAGGATTGGCAGCACACCGGCATTCTCGTATGCACGCATGGTGTTGAGCCACGACTGGTAGGTATCATCGCTGTGGTTCCAACCAAACTGACGTGCTTTAACGACCGTACTCATAAAGGGTTTCATGTTCGGCGCGGGTGTGATATACCAGTTCATGAGCTGGAAGGCGTCCAGTTGGAACGCCTCTGGATCGCCACCGTACTTGGCGACAATGCGCTCCCATACCGGCTTCTTGTCTTGAGCCCACTCGGCCAGATCAAATGGTTGTGTTGCCTCAGTAGGGGCCTCAAACTTGTCCATTGGAACCTTGAAGTATCTGGCTAGCAAATGCCAGAGGAACTTCCAGACGATCACATCCCCATCATCATGGTTAAAGGCCTCATTCTTGCAGTGGGGCTGGGTGGCCGCCCAGACAGTAAGGTTGGCAATTCCAGGGGCGGACGAATGTTTCTCGACGCGGTGGTAGCTTTGCAGCTTACCGGGCCAGCGTGGTGCGTCACCGAGCTCTCGACAGATCAGGAAGTATTGGGCTAGTGGGAGAGTTTCGTTGATTCCGAGGTCTGCCGTATTGAAAAAGAGATTAGAATGTTAGCGATGGAAGCGAAAGGCGATAGAAGGGGGTTAATGCGTACATTGACAGCTGTAGCCGATGATGCCCATGGGGCGAATGATGTTGTAGCTCCAGGCGTTGCGGCGCTTTTGAACAGCAAAAAGGTCATCTTCCTGCTCGTAGTAGAAGATGTTCTCTGGGCCTTCATAGCGAGGCATGTCTTCCAATAAGGGGGTTGTAATGTCCCTGAATTGGAATCCATAATGCTGGCCAACAGTCAGAAGTTATCATATGTACTGAGACCGAAGAGATTTGACATATCCTGCTTACCTTGCCTCCGGTTTGTAACACCACACGCTGCAGCTTAGGACAGGCAAGATCCACCACTTCGATGAAGGTGCGGAAAAGGGGACCATTCTTCTTGTACAGTACCGAAAAGTCATTGTTGTGGATGTACGAGGTAAAAAAAGCATGGGTAACGTCCTTGCACACCTCCTTGATCCTCTCGACGATGAATTCGACCGGCGCAAGGAAGTCGATGGCGACGAATCGCACCCTTGGGTCGGTGTAGACGGTCTTGAGAGGGCTTCTCGACGTGATGATTATCTCCGCCCTTAAGTTGTGGTGAGTAGGCGCGGCCTGCAGAGAAAATGGGTGGGGGGAACAAATCACGTACCACTCATTGGCGGGCTGCTTGATTAGATAGTCAACAATGGCACTGCCGCTGATGCCGTTAGCACCGGCAACAAAGGCGACTTTGCTGGCCAAGGGCCGGATGCCGTAGATGTTGCTCATGGTAATGGTGATTCCGTTGGATATGAGGGACAACAGAACTTTCGGGGGGTACACTTGGACTTTTATAACCCTCTCGCCCCTCCTCACCACCCTGGAGCTTGCCAACGACTTGTCATACAGGGACTGCTGAAATATTTTTCATAGTATAAGATGGAGTCCAGTACAGGTCCCGCAAAGCCTTGGCAGTCTGTTGCTAAACTGCAACATGCAGCTGCCAAGCGCCATGGATCCGCTCATGTTCATGTTATGGAACCGGATCAGGAACATCCGGCAGCCGACCAGGTAAGCATTTCAATTCCCTTAACCTGTCGACGCCTCCCACATTTTTCGACCGTTCAACTCGACTTCTTTTCTCACGTTCTCCCCCCAAGAAACCCTGAAGTCACATGACTGAAATGTATATTCATACTGCATCTGGCAAGATGAAAGAAAAGAAGACTACAAATAACAGGATGAAAATATAGTCATCAAGATAATTCCAAGTCATGGTACCTTGAAATGATAGCTACTCTCATGGATCTTATTTCAGACGTTCTATACTTATTGTTGCATGTATACATCTGCAAAGAAATAGTTGACCCCATCCATCTTTCCCATATCACAAACGGATACATTTGAGATTCCACAAGCTACCGGATACAGCAAATAACCCCAAATAGTGCATTACTATTCAGCGCAGACATGTTGAATAATTTGAGCCCATGGGATGGCACTGGGGAGAATCACCTTCCATGGCTTTCCAACTGAAAGGCAGTGGGATCTCGCTTGGACTGAAAGTTCTTTGGGTAATGTGGTGTGCCGATCATCAGGCCTGTTGTACCTTTGAGTGCCCCTCAAGCGTAAGAAGTGATACGAGCTAAGCTATCAACGCCCCAAGGGCTGGGTCATTCTTCCAGTAAGAAAAAAGAGTATGATCGCAGGTAAGATGGGGCTAGATTCAAGGTCTCATGGCCGTGTTATACTGAGACACTGGATAGGATCAAGTCTAACTCTGAAATCTTGCTAATGATGGTTCGCTGCTCAATCTCTGGTGTGACGACTGCCCTCGAGGCCTTAGGTAACTGCGTAAGCTAAGACCCACCACCACTTCGGTGTGCAGCGCCTCGTCTGAATCCTTTAATTATCTTGTTGCCACGGTTTTGGTTACGCCGAGGCGTCTGCCGCCTCTTTCCCTATCGCGGTGAGCTCCTGGGCTCCGACGTCCTAGGTGGGCTCTCTGGTGATTGTTCACTAGCGTGACTAGCATACCGGATATATCGGCATAGGCTTATGATTTGTGATGATACATTGTTGGCTTTATCCACTATAAACGCCCACGGACTACCGCATTTAAGTATACAGGGACAGGAGACGCGCCCATGAGGGAGCAGAGGCCGACAGCGTTCAAAAAGTTGACACCAAAGGTAGCCCCGGACATATTTGATGACAAGATCTTAACCATTGTCGTCCTACCTTCCTTTTAGTTCCATACCAGATTCACTCCCGATCAAATTATTCGACATATGCAGCAGCACCCAGAACGACATGGAACGCGGACTGTCTAATGATGCAGCTAATCATATGCTCTCTTTTGGTCGAGGTAGACCACATCCACCGCTACTGCCGGACCGCGAGGACTATGTCGTCGATTTTGACGGGCCAGATGACCCGGCTTTTCCTCAGAACTGGCCGATGCGCACTAGGTAGGAAGACCTCATATCCAACTTCTCCACGCCGCAACTGACAGGCTGTCTTCCCTGACAATTTAGGCTGTATATCAGCGTCATCCTTGCATTCACCTGCATCAGCTCGACCTTCGACTCCGCCGTTTTTAGTCCGTCCATGAGCGCAGTGGCCAAGGAATTCCATGTCAGTGTCGAAGTGGCGGCTTTGGCGAGCTCAGTCTACATTGCTGGCTATGCGTTTGGCCCTCTAGTCTGGGCTCCTTTGTCTGAGCGCCACGGTCGCCGGCTCCCTATCGTCGTGGCTATGCTGGGCTTCGGTATTTTCAATACGGCTGTTGCTGTGTCCAAAGACCTCCAGACCTTGATAATCTGTCGCTTCTTTTGTGGTGTATTCGGTAGCAGTCCGCTCATCAATGTTGCCGCTATCTTCGCTGATATGTATGACAATTCGACACGTGGGATCGCTATTGCCCTCTTTTCTAATACTGTCTTCCTGGGCCCGCTAGTTGCATCCTGTATTGGAGGATTTATAAACAAGTCATATCTTGGCTGGAGATGGACTGCTTATATACCCTCATTTATGGGATACACAACATGTGTTCTCAATCTGTTCTTTCTCAAGGAAACCTATGCACCACAGATTCTGACTTCAAAAGCAATCAAAATACGTCAAATTACTGGAAATTGGGGTATCCATGCAAAACAGGAGCAGATCGAACTTAGCCCACAAGATATCGTTGTGAACAATTTAGGACGGCCACTGCAAATGCTTTTCAAAGAGCCGCTTATTGTAGCTGTCACGATTTACCTCAGCTTTGTTTATGGCTTACTTTACTGCTTCTTATCTGCTTACAGTAGCATCTTCCAAGGCGTCTATGCCATGTCTCCCGGTGTCAGCGGGCTTCCGATGCTGTCCAATGTCGTGGGCCTGCTCGCTGCAACGGTTTACATGGTCTATGTGAATAAGACCTACAACGCCAAGCTAAAGGCCAACAACAATATCCCTATTCCAGAGTGGCGACTACCGCCAGCAATTGTGGGCGGCGTTCTATTTTCCGCAGGGCTCTTCTGGCTCGGCTGGACTGGGTTCACGAACACCATCCATTGGATCGTCCCGACCCTGAGCGGTCTCTTCACAGGTGCCGGTTTGCTCATGATTTTCATTCAATTGTTCAACTACCTTATTGATACATATCTCGCCTAGTGAGTGACATTCCTTGATCTCCACATGCTTTCGACAACTTTTCCTTTTCTCTTTATCGGAGACTCTCTGACCTGCTACAGCGCTGCATCTGCATTAGCAGCAAACACCTTCTGCCGCTCGCTCGTGGCAGCAGGGTTCCCGCTCTTCTCGTCGCAGATGTTTGCCAATATGGGCATTCAGTGGGCTGGCACACTGTTGGGCTGTTTAGCTGTGGCCCTGGTACCAATACCTCTGGCATTCCTGCTTTATGGCAAGCGTTTGCGGTTAAGAAGCCAGTTTGCCCCAGTACTGGACAAGGAGGCGTAAGCTTAGGCCATGTATCTGCAGCTGTGCTCTGATGTTACAGCCAGGGATTTGGTTGTATACCGCCGCAGAAGCAGAAAAACGAGCCATAATCTGTGTTGGGATCTGGAGGCATGCGTCATTCATAGTTTGGTGCCAAGTGGGTTGTGCAATAGCTGGCTTTCTTCTTTTTACTATAACCCATGTAAATGTATTTATAGTAGTCATAACACAGCTATACATCAATATGAAAGAATAGAATACTACGATTATCAACGGATATACCCGCATTCTGATAAGTAAACTCAAGGACTATGCATGCATGCAAGCCGTCGATTTCCACTCCTAGCAACAGTAACAAGGACATACCCATGCTAAGGAAAAGGCACCGGCTGTTACAAATGAACATCCTTGAAAATCAGAGGTAGATTGCATGTTCGAAACACCCCACGTCCTAACGTTTGACGCCAGATTCCCAAGCAGCATACACGAGTTTAATGCACAAGGTAGAGTGGATAAGCCGGGAATTCGGCAAGTTGGTGAATCTGCGCCAATGTGACTGTGCCGGTTCTTCAGAAATTCACCCGGAATCTCTTATGCCGGTCTAAGCCTCACTATTCCTGGGAGGTTACCGGGGTGTATGCAAAGGGGACACACCGCATGTCTTTTTTGGTAAATGCCTTCTTTCTGGCTGGCATAGCGCCGGGCTGGACCGAATAAGCGTTTGCTACCTGTGGGTCTTTTAGAAAACAGAGAGACTCGGTGGTACTCCACAGCTTAGCTGAACAGAGGGACCCGTGGGTGGTGACTGCGGAGATCCCGAGATCTGCAGTTCTGTGATGCCCGTGTCGAGTCGAGGGTATCCACTCTGCACTGGTTGAGGAATGTGGATGGGTACAATGATGGCCTTGCCATAAGAATCTATGGCCTTTTACCAGGTATCTGAGACCGTAAGCTAAAGCTTGAAGGAAGAAGAGCACATCTTAAAGTGTAGCAACTGACCCGGTGTTCCTCCACTCATAATAATTCCTTACTGGTAAGATGACCCCACCAGATAGATGCATGTCCGCTCTAATTGTGAGTAAAGTACAAACAGACACACAGACAAAAAGAGAGAGAGGGAGGGGGGAGGGAGGCGACACAACCCAAAGTGGAACCATGGCAAAACCGGGCGCCAGCGGGAGACGATGATCTTCGACCCGTGTGTTGATCTGGAATTGGGTCCAAAGTGAGATAGCCCAAAGAAGTGCACCAATGATCAGCTACGAGTATATCCTTCTCGTCATACTTGCTTGGGAACAGGAATACCACAGCCATGCAGACCCCGGTTGACCACTTGTAAACACCGCACTTCGAATGGTATCCCGTGATGTAACTCTCAACGCCGAAAATGCGCTTGTTCATCCCTTTTACCCAGTTGTTACTCGCTTCAGCATTCATTTTACCCTAGCAGATAGTATCTACGAGTTGGTCCTGAGATGAAGTGCTGAACTGTGAGTTATCATTTGCCTTCCATAGTTTACAAACACAATACGTGTGACCTGACTTGCTTCTAATAAGTAACTCAAACCACTTCCGATTAGACTGCCTACCTTTCCCAATTTTCGGGAAACTTTGTTTATACTACATCTTCATATGATGCACCTAGGGTGACAAGTCGGATAGCACGGATGGCAGAGATAGAATCCGGTTAGAACCGGTGATTAGCATTCTAACTATCATCTGAAGCCGACGCAGTCTATGGACAGTCTGTGCAATACGAGCCAACACTTCCATCACAGACCTTTAAATCGTAGTAAAACCCACCGTGAAATGAAGTGCAGTTCGCATCCACGCTACGGAACGGGCTTCTGTTGCAACAACTTCAAGATGTTGATGCTAAGTATCCCCTTACTTGTCCATCCTGTTCATATGCCAGCGGTGAATTTGCCACTCCTCGTCTTTTCACTACTTGTACGTTTCTCCTCTCAGAATTGCCAGTCTTTTGACCTCCTACCAAATCTAAACAGATATTGAAGCAAGCGTTCTTGAGCCCCCTTCGTCATCTTCCTGGGCCGTGGTACACTTCCTGGACAGGAATTGTGCTTCGTTTTCAGGCACTGAAAGGCTACCGATCCCAATGGGTAGATGAACTACATCGAAAATATGGACCTGTAGTCCGTATCGCACCAGATGAGGTAGATGTACGTGACTTTGATGGATATCGGGAGATTCATAAGATCAGCAATCCGTTCATGAAAGCCCCATGGTATATTAGGTTCCGCGAAGCAGTCAATTGCTTCACAGCTACTGACCCCCATGTTCATGCCCGCAAACGAAGACTGCTCTCCCATCCGTTTAGCAAGAGCTCTCTCCGCGAGCATTGGGAACCTACTGTACGTCGGCTTGCGGCAGCAGCCGTACAAGGCATCAAGAGGGAAGCTGCAGTTGGAACCTCCGATGTGATGAAGTGGTGGACATTCATGGCTACTGATGTGACGGGCGCTTTGGTTTTCAGTGAGTCCTTCGGCATGACTGAAACCGGTCAGGTTAGCCTCCTTCCTACCAGGCCCAATGTTTCGAGCCCTTGCTGACCAACTTTGGGTTTTTTCTGATTCAGAAAAGCAAGTACATCGAAGAGCTAGAGTTTGTCAACAAGGCTCGGGCGCTCCGCTTAGAGGTCTACAGCCTTTACTGTGCGCTAAGAACCTTTACCCTGGGCTACTTTGATCCTCTTACTCGAGCGGATCAATGTATCGAAAAGAGAACAGCGGAGGTCGTCCAACGAGCCTCAGAAAGACAACTCGTCAAGGCAAATATCTTTGCGGGTCTAAAGGGCGAGAAGAGCAGCGACGAAACAATGGCCGACCGGGAAGTGTTGCTATAATCCATCATGTTGATTGTTGCTGGCTCTGGAACAACGGCAGTGACGATGACCTTCCTCACCTGGGCGGTGATGGCGAACCCTGAGATTCAGTCACGACTGGAAGAGGAAGTGGCTACCCTTTCGGAGGGGTTTACAGACTCGGAGCTGGAAGCACAGCCGTACCTCAATGCTGTGTGATTAACGAGGCCCTTCGATTGTACGGGGCAGCTCCCTTTGGATTACCTCGCATTGTTCCAGCTACTGGGTTCAGTGTGTGCGGACATCAAATTCCAGAAGGTGCCATCGTCACCACGCAGTCCTTCTCCTTACATCGTGATGGAAATGTCTGGACTGAACCTGATCAGTAAGTCGCCATCCGAACTTTCACGGATTACCTCAGAGTCTTCTAATACCCATTTTTTTTTTTTTTTTTTATAAAACACAGATTTATCCCGGAACGGTGGTTGGAAAAGCAACAGCACCCCGAGGCGATTTTTGCGCCCTTCGGTGGTGGCAGTCGCACTTGTATCGGGCTTCACATGGCCCAGATGGAGCTTCGCTTAGCTACTGCTTTGCTCTTTCGTGAATGCGCGGGCATCAAATTGGCCCCGTCCACGACGCCGGAGTCGATGGAGATTGTGCAATACTCCCTAATTGCTCCGAAGGGCAGAAAATGTGAAGTTATGTTGTAGCTGGTAATGCTTGAGCTATGCTGCAGCTCGCGAACATACTTATGATGGCTTAGATCCATTTGTAACTAGCTCTACAACTTACCACCACCCCTTGGATGATTAGTAGTTTCTGGATCCAGTTCTAGTATGCTTTTAGGGGCGGCCTAGAGTATTCATCAAGACGTAGAAGCTATGGCGAGCCAGTTTCTTTAACTATATCATAAACTCTTATAGTAAGCAGCAATTCGGCGGCGCAGATACGGCGACATTGGAAATCGGACATGCGCAACTCGTTCCTGATAGCGATCATTCAGAAGGACATAATGAAATCCCGAGGTTGCGAACCGCCTTAGCAACGCGCCTCTCGGGTCCTGATCGAGGGACCCCAAAGCCCGCAAATAAACCCAGCGTAGCTCGCGCTTGAGCATCTCGCGATCTTTGCCTGTAACAGTTTCTGTCGGTTCATCTTGCAATACACTCAGAGCTTCCTTTCCCAGATCCATGGAAATTGCATCGCATATGCTGGCCATTTCAAGTGCATGATCCGTCTGTCCCTGTGGTCGGATACCCTTACTGGTGAGAAGAAATACAGCGGCACAATGAGTCCCTGCCGTCAACACCCTCCATAGAGTCATGAGGGTAGTCTTTCCTATCAAGATCTCGCGGATCGTCGGGTCGACCTTTTCGAGATATTGAATGATGGACTGTCGCCACAGGTACATCTCCAGTAATTTGATATCGTCCGGATGAACACCTTCTAAGCGCAGCCCTTCGAGAACATCCGCTAGAGAGTTTCCCAGGAAACGGAAAGAACCATCTGCTAGATCTTGTGGAGGAATTGCTATTTCGTCGGAGATGGTCGTAAATGCGATGTACAAATGCTTCCATCGATGGCCTGCTATAGTTCCGTGCCAGTTGGCCCACCATTGGAGCACGTCACGCATGACGTATCGACACACTTCTTCGATGGAAGTGTCGCCTTTGCCAGTGTGAATGGTGTAGTCTTTGATGTGGTGTTTGGGATGATTCTTGATGTATGCATCGATGTGATCATACAGCGATTGGGTCTCGTTGCATGTACATGGGGGGCGAGAGATATCGCCAAGGGCGGAGAATATTCGCATGCAATCTTCGTCTAGATCCACGCCATATTCTGTATTGCTGTTCTTGTTTGGATATGACTTCAATTCACAGAGATGGCTGCAGAATTGTAGGAGACTGTTGGACTCTGCGAAGTATGTTTTTACCGTATGCCACATGCCATCCATTTTTCTTTTTTTTTTGTTGATCGATTTAGTTCCAGAATGCCGGAGCAGCCACAAATATGACAATGTACGTGGGAGATAGAGAAATACAGTTGCCCCAACAGAACAAATATTTTTCGTTAGCATTGGTTACTGTCTCTTCTCTTTTCCTGCTCCTTTTCCTCTCACCCCTAGCACGCAGTCCCCCACTTCTATAGTGTCCTCTGATGACAAGTTCTGACCACCCTGCAAGGGATGCAAGATGACAGAACAAAGAATGAGCTGTCCGCTGGTGAACTCCAAGGAGAATGTGCATAGTGTAACTGCAGCAGTTGGTGTTATTGGACGATGATGATATGTCCGCTACCACAAAGAGGAGTTTGATGTCTACTTCCTCTACCAATAACCTTCTTCGGGCCTCATACAGGTTCTGGGTTGTACCATCTCTCTAAGATCTTCATTCCTCTCAAGCTGGGACACAGTAGGGAGTCTCACCCCCTTGCCATATCTCATTTGATATATGCTAAATGATCATTTCTATCCCTAGCAGCAGGATTTCATCGTTCTGACCATTTTCCCATTTACTAGCATGCGCATAGAAAACCCCCTTTTGCTTCTTTTAGCAAATGATAAGCCCACAGTGAGTTACCCTAATAGTAAATGGATGCAGTTGCTCTGTTCATACCACGTTAATAGAGTTTTGCTAGGTATGTCCATTGTCCTACTCTGCCCACCCTGAACCCTCCGTGCTTTGTTAACCTACATAAGCAGGGAGGAGTATATATAAGATAGCGGACGAATGAAGGCCCCATGTACCCCGAACTCTCCACACTTATCTCCTCTTATATCTCATTCCATGACTCACAAGCAAATACTTAGCAAAGAAATCCTCCGCAAAATCATCAAAAGGCACATATTCCGCCCCAAGTCGATACGCAGCCGCAATGCCCGATATACAAGCTATCTCATGCATATTCTGCGTGCCATCAGTATCTGAAACACACACCCACAACCGTGAAAAGACTAAGTACTCACCACCATAGTCCAACTCCCCGCATACAATGTCCGATTCTTCCCATTAATGAACATCATCCCCGGCACCACACGTATATAATGCTGCCAATTATGTCCGAACTGATGCCACCATTTCTTCGCAATGATTTTGTCCTTGTCAATGCTTTCCCACGTCCATAGATCCGACTCCTGTTTATTCAGAAAGATCGTCTGATACACATGCCGATATGGCTCCAACGACAGCGCTCCCTCCCCCAACGCCTCCCGGAACTGGTGCTGATAATTCGAACAGTCGAACCCCATCTCGATCTTCTGCGGATCCTGCTCATACGAATGCGTATAGTACATAGGCGCAAACCCGTCCCACCCGTCCTTCCGACAGCGCGGTGTCTGCTTCGCGAACGAGATCTGCTCGTTGCGCGCCTCGCTCGACGCCTTCCCGCACAAATCACTCTTATATCTCGTTTCGAAGATACTATTGAAGTAGTCCGCATCACTATGCGTGACCGTAACATCATCGTAGAACCTCACACCTCCGAGCACATACTTCTCCCTCCACGTCGCATGCCTACCCAGCAACTTCTTCGCCTCATCAGCCGGCACACACAGCACAAGCTCATCAAAGTGCTCATCATGCATCACCCCCTCCCACCTTCTCTCACCCCCATCCCCCCTATCCCAAATCCTCAAATCCACCCCCTTCTTAGTATCCCTCCCTAATATCTCCACCTCCGTCCCCAACCTCACCCTCACCCCCTTATTCTCCCCCAAATCCCCCACCCAATCGCCATAAAACCTCCCCAACTCCGGAAACGTGTACATCTCCGGCCGATTCGGCAACAACATATCGGGATCAAAATCCCACAACCTCATCTGCGGATCATCAAACAGCCTTTCCAGCAACACACTCGACACATTCGGCGTCTGGTTCCCCGTGCCCAAGAACAGTGCAATGAGCGGAAGAACCATCTTACTTCCGAACTCTGCACTGAACCTGAACAGCCGAAGTACAATCTTGATAGGTAGTATTCCAAGAAATGGCATCAGCCGCTTAATCCATTTCAGCACGCGGCCGAGTTTGTCGATCTCGTGCGAGTATCTGTCCACGAGGGGGGAGGGGAACATATTGGTGAAGAAGCTGTCGGGACCTTTGCCGAAGGATACTTGGAGTTGTACGGGTTGAGGCTCGTATCCGTAGCGTCGGAAGAAGTTGAATGTGTGGCGGAATATGGATGAGCCGCCTTGGACGCCGTCGTTGAGCCAGGTTGCGCCGTGGTTGGCAGGGAGGGGGATAGAGGTCGCTTGGCCGCCGGCATGGGGGGCCGAGTCGAAGAGGTGGATTTCGAATTTGTCTGGGTGTTGGGATAGGGTGGAGGCGCAGGACTGTGGGGGTTTTAGTAGTTAGTCGGGGCTCGTAATGGGTTAGGGATGGTAGGGGAGGGAAGGGGAGGACTGTACCATGCCTGCTGCTCCGGCACCTATGATGGCAACTTTCTTTCGAGGAGACGCTGATGCCATGGCCAATTGGTGTTTTCACTTGTTCATGGTTGAAGAGAGAATGCAGTTCGAGGAGATGTGATGTTGTCTACAAGAAAACTGAAACACTAATCATGACGTCAGGTGGATTTCCGCTTCGGGTAATCTGTATACTCGGCATGAGGGGGAAGCAGTGCAGAAGTATTGTGTATGTTCTATATTATCATCTTTCTAGCGCCATGAAAACCCTAAGAATATAGGGGGAAGCCATAGCCGAGTACATTTGTGAAGAGAATCTAGAACCTGAGTGAGAATAAGCCATATCTGAAGCTAGTCCAGAATGAAGCACAGTAGCCTAAGAGTAATACTGAGACTATAGTAACTTAAGGCTGTAGTAATGCTAGAGTGCAGTCAAAAGAGTGTGACACACAATCAAAGAACGCGTGCGCTGAATAATCTACTTACAGACAAACGATGAAGCAATTGTAGGGTCTCCTCCTATATACTGCGCAGTAGCAGGATAGGGACAGAGAATCCTTGACATCCCACCATCCTCAGAGACAGATTGCAGATGATCAGGAGCAATGCCTCCTTCAACCCATTCCATCAATGACTCCATCAAACGAGTTGGAGCTGGTCCCTTTCCATTACCACAGTGTTCGACTCCTGGCGCCTCAAAATAGAGATAATAATCCTGGACTGATGGATCACGCAGTTGGACCTTTCTGTAGTAGTCCACAGAGCCATTTGGAGGAACTTGCCAATCAGCTAAGCCATGCCAATGGATAATCTTTCCCCCTCTATCCTTGAAGTCGTAGAGATCGGGATTATTAGCATCGGTAATTGCTTTGTATCCGATGATGGATTGATAGAAGAGGGACTCAAACTCAGCTTGATCCATGTCAACCAAGTCGATATCGGGATCTTGAGCAACGAAAAATTGCAGCCAGTCCACGCTCAAGTAATCGGGCAAAGAATGACATCGGTGATTCCCAATATCATCGGTAGCAGTGCAGATCGTATAATTCCATGGCGTACCCTGATTGAAACCGTACCACAAAGGGGTCCCGTCTTTAGCAGTCAGACCTGCCCAGTATGACACTGCAAGTAATGCCACTTCCGCAGTAATTATACTGGGGATACATTCACACCAAACCTCCATCCCTATGAGAGTGAGGGGATTAAAGTTGCAAAGCGACGGCAGAGCAATGATTCCATCCACAACACCGTCCTGACCATCGCAGTAAGCGACTGCTGCATCCGTTATCTTCTCCATGACGCAGGGGGAGGGATAGACCCCAAGCTGGTTCATGACGAATGTTGGCCAGTAGTTTGCAGGGACGAACTGCGCCCAATTTATGGTTGGCGCCCCCGCCAATATGCCGTCGAATGCATCGGGCCATCGTTGGGCGATCTCCAATCCCTGCCGCCCACCAGTCGAGCAGCCGTTCCAGTAAGAGTAAGCAGGTAGTGTTCCATAGAACTCCAGTATGATATACTTGGCGAGAAGCGACAGCTCATAGAGACAGGTTGAGAAGAAATCAGCCAGTCGGGCGAAGTTCACGTGGCCCGAGGCATCCTCGAGAGCCCATGATCTTGCTGACCAAGGAATCCTGTCGTGGCCCATGTCAGACCCGGCAGCTGCAAATCCTTGATAGACAGGCAGAGCTAATGTGCCATAGTCCACAAGCCCTGCCCACCCTCCTCCTCCAACTGCCTGGAGCCGATTGTTCCATCCAGACAATGGTACCCAAACGTGCGCATGAATCAGGTCATCCCAGCCCGGATGCGTATAGGTAACGGTGACATTCCAGAAGCTGATAGTCACATTCTGCGACTGTATAGGATTCACCTGCATCCCGGTAATTGGGTAGTCCTGAAGTAGAAATGCGGTAATAGAAAGTATTTTCAAACCCGGAATATCCGGCTTAGGTATGTGATAGCCATTGGCAAAATGAGCGTAGAATGTTGAGAGAATAGTGGCCAAAAGCACCAATTCTTGACTTGCTTTGAGCAGCATCTAGTGTTGACAGAATGATACAAATAAATTCAAGAACAAATTAAGTGCAGAATAATTGTAGAGAGAGGTGAGCCTTTTGCAGTGCTTGCGGCATCTTGAGATCAGGAACGGCATCCGGTGGCGAAGAGGCTGGCTGCAGTTGTGAAGATGACAGTGTAGGAAGGCGCGAGGCATGAGCGCACCACTGCCTGGACCAGGTTGCCGGTGGCTGCTGGGAAGTAGCTGCGCTACACATACAGTGTCTCATGTCTTGTCACTTTACGTTTCGCTTAAACACCCGACATTTGGCTGGGAGTCTCAAGACTCTGACAAGCTTTGGGGGATATACTAGTAACACATATGAAGAAGATCCAGTCCGTCATCTATAAATCTGCTCGCTGAGTTCAATGACTGGAAGCATTCTATAGCGCCCAAACTAAACTACTATGTTTACTATTCCAGAATAAGCCACTACAGACGGATCCATTCCAATTGTGAGAAGTAATAACCATATCACCGCCGGTGGGTCAGGACCTCAATGCATTCCGCTAGTACCACACCACAGATCTCATCAAGATAAACAAAAAGCTTCTTTTCCAGTAACTGTATTCAAAGTACATCTCGTGTTCCCAAATTCCGTCTAACTCCCCTCAAGCACTCGTTCACCAGGACATGTTCTTCTGCGACGTTCCTGCTTCTACCTGCACAACATTTTCTTGTGGATCTATGACCGAAATAACATCGAAATAGCCAGCAAATGTACTGAAAAAGAATGCATTCGAATCTATGATGTGTAGATTTGTACCATGAAGATAACAAGTCTGACAATCAAGATGCCTGGAGAGAAGACAAGGATGCACGAATTATGCCTCCGGTCTCAAGATTCAGAGAATTGAGATTCTTTATATCATCTTCAATATCCAGCGCGCTCGGTCCCCAGTGAATGAGCTGCACATAGTACCATATGAGCTCGAATCCACCAAGGTCACGCTCTATTGGGAGGATCTCGTCCAAATGGGACTCGAATGGTACCGCTTCAAGGAAGCTTTCCCAATGTTGCAATAATCCACAAATTCGAAGCAAATGTATCATCTCGGTCTCCCCACCCTCTCAGAAGATGGGATCGTTAAATTCAAAGAGTCCATATCAAGATGAAGGACACCACCAGCAATGTGTCAGTAGGATATGAAAAGACGTCAATGATGAAGATTCAGGAACTTGAAGCAAGCTCAGTAGAGTCACCGCATACACCATCCGTTGCCATTTCCTTGAATTCTCATATTCCTCTGATCATCCACATGTCAAGAAGCGCATTATTTGCGTTGATAACTAGCAATTTGTGAAGAAATTGGGTCTTATCGTGACTTCTATCCCTATTTTGTTTCTGAAATCCATTCCGGTACTAAGCCCTTCTCGGGTCGCGACTTCATGTCGTCCTTTACTTTCCCGGTTGTCATATGCAGTGGGATACTTATGATCAAACCCACTGCGGGTAGCCACGATGCTAGATAGACTCTTGTCAGTAACTGCCAAAGACCCAACATAAGTCTAGTTCGTGCTTACTTATTAGCAGTGCCTATTACATTGCCGGCCAGCTGTTCCCCCTCCTTCTGACACATTGGAGGCACAGTTGGGCTCAGTGGAACGACCTTGATGTAATGTCGCTTAACTATTTCCACATGACGAAAGCCAGGGTCCTCCTATCATGATGATGGGAATAAAAAATATAGCCAATCTTAACTCTGTCCCCAACTTGCCTCTCTCGATGCATGTGAGATACTTCGCCGTATCCCTTCCCCGTTTTTTCTCAACTTCCTTGCAGATCTTATCTGCTCTATTGCCACATTTTCATGGTCAATGGTGGCTTTGGGGCCCTCATAGGCGGTGGGGTATTTCTGAATGAAGCCACTCCTCGCAGCCCCAGCTCTATAACCTTACCGGAAAACGTTAGCAACTTCAAAGCTCTGGGAATTGCAGTTATATCGGCCTACCTTTTAGCGGCCACCATTGCCTGTGGCCAGTTCCTCGCATTTCTTCATTTCCCCAACCGAGGGAAGTTTTCCGCCCTTAGCACGAGATAGGGCACTACTTGCCCGTTTGAACCTCACTCTCACGGCAGCAAAATCCCGGCACACAGCCTTATACAAGTTATAGTCTTGCTTGACTTGTTGGGTATACGGCTGTGGGCACTTTGCCCACGGTTAGGGTAGCTCGGGCTCTTTGGTGTCGCTATATGCGAAGCTTAAAGAGAGCCTCAGCTCTATTTCCTGGAAGTTGTATCCTCAATAGCAGCGCAGTCGTGCTGTGCCGATACACAACCTCCGAGGACATCATCCCTAAGCTTTCATGGCTCGATAGAAATACCCGGATTGTGATTTAATTCATGATCCAAGGGATATCTCTTTAGTTGAAGCTATATCTGGCGCAGAGGAATTACCCCTTTCTGATCACTTGTATATAGCTCTGTGTAATGACCTTTCGGGCCCGAAACCCCCGTAGAACATGTTCAGTTGTGGGATCTTGTCCAAGTATATATATATATGATGGTAGTATGCTGGGTTGCTCTTTAACATTCATATCTATAGTAAAATAACAGTGTCAGCCTGGTGTGCTCTGTAAAAGGCTTGCAGCTTACCTGCGTCCCAATCAATCAGGTGCGCCCACTCGCTGTCTTGCGATGCGTCCTCGCTAGCCATGGTGATTAGTTGATCAGGGACTACAAAGAACTGAATCAATGGCTTGAAATAACAAGTAATGAGTAGAACGAAATGACAGAGACGGCAGAGATAGTCGAAATGACAGATATAATAGAGAAAGAGATGAAAAAGATGAAAGAGATAGAGGTACTAGTAGAGAGAGGAAAGCAGTTCACGGGGAGATGGAATGATTATTTATATGTTTCCTGGGCTGTAAATTCGATATTAGTGAACGGAGAATAAGGAAATGTAACTTCGCGATTCATAATGTCTTGTGTCGATGAATGACCGAAACCACACATTCATCCCCAGCTAGACACAGGAAGGTTGAATTCTAGTGGAACAGTAAAGGGGTATGGGAGAAGCAGACAAAGAGATGAGATATGTCACCTACCAAAGTGAATCCTCCATAAAGTATGAATCTGGTTGAGCTAAAAGCAAATCTGCGTTCACTGAATGAATTCATTGCGAAGCAGTTGCTCTATAGCTGACTAAAGTGCTGCATTGGCCGGTCGTTGAATAGAAACCGTGAGAACTAAAGTGTTTAGACTGTTTTGGAGTTCGTTATAAAAGAATGATTGGGTTGATGATAGTTCCTGCTTAACGTCCGGGAAGCAAGGCCTTTTTAAAGAGTGTGGCCGGGTTCTAGACCACCCGATCGTCGAAGGAAGCTTCCGGTCGAGCGTAGGAACAAGCCGTCGGGAAATCCAACAGATCGGAACCTTCCTGGTTAATTCACAATAATAGCTCACATTGCCGTAAGATCACGCATCTTACACGGCATTTTCCATTAAATGTGTCTCTACCAGACACTGGAATATTATCCGGATATTTAATCGATTGTGAACTGTGTAATCTGCTTAATATATCTATGCAGGCACTCATAATGTTTGTATATGATTATTGTGCAAAAACATATTGTAGGAACAGTTGCGATGAATAGATATACGTAGGACCCACCAGATCAAGAAGAGATTGGGCCTGCTCCATGAACTTTGAGAGGGCTGTGTTGATACACAAATATGAAGTTAAAAGCAAAAAAAGAGCTATAATATGAGAAGTCAACCTATTGCATTTCTAGGGCTCTACTAGAAGCGACAGGAGTTACGATTGAATTTGTGCCAAACTAAAACATAGATTACACCAAACAAGAACGCAAGAAAGTACGGGAATTTGACAAAGCAATGACACATAAGAATAGTTCAAAACATAACCGAGCATGCAGGAAAACACGAGTAACTCAAAGACCGGATATGAACGACCGTAGCTTCATCAACCCAGGGAGAACAAAACAGAGTCGCCACATTAACCCCCTTTTCTTGTTCAGCTTTATAGGTTCCTTACTGAATCGCTCCGAAGAGACGCCTTCGAGCCGACAGTTAGAGACGCGGTGAGGCATTGATCTTACCACAGATCACACCTCTCTGATTGTGATGGTTTCTCGCAATATTGATGTGCGGCGACTAATTGGCGATGGAAAATCACATCAACTCAAAGATGCGGTGGGATCATCTTCATTTTCTCTTCCCCTCACCTCAACTTGCTTTCTCTTACATTTTCATTATCACCTTTCACGCCATCCTCACCACCTCCTTATCATCAACTTTTGTCTGAAAGGAACAGGATCTCAAATAATATATATTCCGAACATGGTTCGTGTATATTACCATTCTTGACGGTGCATGTGCTAACTTCAGATCAGGCTGTGCCCACCCTGGAAGGCATCCCGGTGGAACTGCGTATTTCCATCCTATTCACCATACCTGATCCCGGTACACTGTGGTCGCTATTACGTGCATCGCCTGTGTACTATGAAGCCTTTGAGCTAGTGAAGAAAGACCTTCTTCGGAGCCTTCTACAGAAGCACCATGCTGGCTTGGTTGACATGACCGATGCAATAGCCGCCATCCGTTCCAAAGGCTTGTACGCTTCCGAGCAATCCAATAAAGAAAAAATCATCGCACTTCTTGAGAGCCGAAATTACAGCTACAAGACACCTCGGCCGGAAACTCCACCTGCGCAGCTTCTAGATGAACCAGCAAATACCCAGGAGACAGTGCAGTTGCTGCATTTACATAACCAGGCCCTATTATTCCTAGAGGATTTCTGCAGAACCATTAGGCGACCGGTATGGATGGATGAGACCAGGTGGGAGAGCGACATCATACCTCTAGTCTTAACAGAGACGGAGAAACGACGCATCATCCGTGCCTTCTATCGGTTGCAAATCTACGGAAATATCTTCGGTTCAATCGAACGTACTGTGGATGCGGAGCACACCTCGGAGGACAACGATTGGCAAGAGGAGCAAGATGTGTTCACTGGCGGGGAGATGTGGCGTCTGTTCTTTGGTCATGTGAGTCCCTGGGAAGTTGAAGAATTCAGCTGTCTATGGGAACACTGCTGCTACCGATACGAATCGATACTCCGCGAAGTATCCGACAGCCTAGTGCAGACAGGTTGCATGTTCTTTGACGAGCTGCCAGAAGATCAACGACCACCACCTGGTTGCTGGTACACGGACTGTGATGATTTCGAAGACCCAATGGACAAGAGAGAGAGCCTGGCCTCGAAAGGGCCCTCACTCCTATGCAAAATCCTGCGGGAAAAACAATTCCTCGCCCGCCGGAACCTGGTCCTCATCAACGTGCGATCATTTAGGTTATATTTCTATGACTTCGGAATCTGGCCGAGACCGAGCGACAATGATCAAATGGAACTGTTCTACCCTGCAGACAAATTCAACTTCGGCACGGACAGGAATGGACTTCGAGAATTCCTGAAATCATTACCGTCGTTTGAACGGCCTAACCTAGCATGGGAGAGGATATGGCTTCGAGACGATCTCAATTTTGCCCAGGTGTTTTATGACATGTATGAGTTTGGGGCTACTAATAAGCACCGTCCGTGGCAATACGCTTTGTGGGATGACGAGAGACTCATCGAATGGAACGTACCTATTCTCTCTGATGACTATCCGTTTTGGGACCCGCGACATGACAATTGATATGTTTTGTTCATCTATCAGTGCCTTCTGTTGTGTATCGAGCAAGCGGTTGTTTTCTTTTTCTACTGATAGACCAATAACCTACATTAAATACCATGTTTCCTCCCACCTCTAGATATAAATCAATTGACCTATAACCAGCCCCCTTTCATTCCACCATATTCTCACTTAATGTGCCTTTCTTTCCATTGATACTTTCACAGTTCACCCCTGTTCTCTTTCCACTCTATTCATCTACCCGCTAGCAATTAACCGACTTTTGAACTCTTAAACCGTAGTGTTCTATTATGAAACCTACACAACATATCTAAAATCCTCAATCTCCAAATCCGTCTTACTCGACAACCCCAACGCCAACTCCTGACTTTCCGTCATCTGGCCCGGAACTCCATACAGTCTATCCCTCCTCTTATTCTCCCAGATATAATACACCAGCAAACACACCAAGAAGAATGCCCCCAACGCCAGTCCCGAAGTAGCCGCCTTCATACCTGTCTACACATGGCCATCATTAGCATACCGCCCCTCCATAAACAAATGGAAGAAAACATACCGGATAATAAGGCTCCTCGGAGGTATAAAAGAACTGCGGCCCGACAATATTCCCCACACAGTATGCAACAAACAACAATGCGCTGGTGGTACTTCGTTTCGTGAACCCGGCGACATTCGAACTGATGATGCTCAGCGAGAGGGGAATATTGACTGCGAAGACAGCGCCCAGGGCCAGGCCCGTGAGTCTGCCTCGACGGTTATCTTCGTCGAGCTTCCAGACGAGTATCATGCCGATCAGGGAGGTGAGGGTGTTGAAGATCATCATGAGGATTCGGGTGTGTGGGACGAAGGTTGCGATGCCGGCGGTGAGGATGAGGAAGACGACTTGGGCGCCACCGAGAGGCATTTGCATAAGGAGGGAGCGGATTTGGGAGAAGCCGAAGCCGTTGATGATTATGGAGGAGAACTGGTAGGTTATTGTTAGTGTTATCGGGATGGATGAGGATTCTGAAATTTATGTTGGGGACGGGGGCTTACGCTAGTGATTCCGCCGTTGCAGAGGTTCACGGAGAATGTGTACAGCACCAGGAACCAGGTTTGAGGGTCGCGGAGTGCCTGCCAGGCTTGGTCCCATCTGAATGATCCCTCGTCCGCGACACCGGTTTTGTTGGCGAGGGTGCGGTGCATGGCGATGGCGCGCTCGGGTTTGGTGAGGAAGATGGCTTTCTTGGGGGAGTCGGGGAGAAGGAAGATGAGGAAAAAGGAGATGAATGCTGTGATGGCGCCGAGGACGAGGAAGAGGAGTTGCCAGCTAGATACGGCGTCGGTTTTGATGCTGCCAATCCCGTAGGCTACGACACCGCCGATGACGGTGGAAATGCAGTTTCCGAGGAACCAGGCCGATTGCCTTGTTAGTTGTTAGTTTGAATATCTGTAGTAATTATTCTGGCTATGGGGGAGGCGTACCGTGCTGGTTGTTCCTCACGCTTGTAGAACATGCCTGTGATGAGGGAGAATCCCGGGGCAATGGCGGCTTCGCCCACTCCTAGGAAGAACCGGGCAGCCATTAGACCCCCGAAGTTCTTTGCTGCGGCGTGGCACATTAGGATGCCTCCCCATATTAATCTATTTGGTATTAGTGGTATTATGGGGTAGGATTAGGGGATGCACAAACACTGAGGCACTAATGTATTTGCCAATTGGCAGACGGACGATGAGATACGAGCTTGGCCAACTCCAAGCAAAGTACCCGAAATAGAAGACAGCAGATGTCCAGGTATATTCTTGTCCCTTGAGGTTCTGTTTGAAGTTAGTATAAATTATTCTTGTTGGGAATGGCAACATACCAAATCCTGCCTGAGGTTGAACAGAGTAGCTTGACTCAGAGCCAGCTTGTCCATGTATTGCATCATGTAACAGACTCCCATCAGAGGGATCAATCTTGTTCGAGCAGTGAGCAAAGAACATTTAATGCTATACAAATTACACATACATTATGTCCAGCTTTCGCAGAACCTTTCGTTCCTGCTCTGGGGTGGCTTCCACCTCCAATACTTGTCCCAGTCCGACATCCCGGGCCAGGGTTGCTTCTTCCTTCAGTTTTAGATCGTCTAATTCGGGGGTCACCCCGGGAGGGGGGTCTGTATGTTGCTTCTCCATGATGGTTTGGTTTCGTGAGAGCTGCCACGGCATGATGGCACGGAATTGGTTTACTGTTTATACTACTACCGGTACAGATGAGGCCCATCGGTTATAAGATAACCAGTGAGCAAACCTTAACCAACAGCACCCACGGAATCAAGCGCACAACTTCCGCGATCAGCGATTGATACACGTACCTCCACCGGGGTAACTTGACAAGCCGATACCGCTCTGATGCCCTGTCTGTGCTCATCACGATGGTGGCGAGGTCGGGGACTTGGCCGTGAGTCAAATGCCGGTGATTGACTTTCCCTATCTAGTATCTGTTTACATTCGGTAGACGATGAATGGCCCAATGAAATCGATGAAGCCATGTTGGTCGTGAAAGAGGAAAACGATATCCGTGCGGTGACTCGAGTAGGTTAGAATCTGGGGTTGCGATATGGCAGCAGATCCAAGCAACGCCGTCGGCAGATGCGCCAATACGAAGCGTCGGTCGGCAAGATGACAAGCAGGTTATCGTTCATCGCAATGCCGGCAGCTGAACCGGCAACTCTCCACCACGCTTATCCTTGGGTTTCCACTGGTTCGAGAACTTAATGCTGGGTCCATCTTCCGGAAAACTCGCGACTGCGCCTCCCCCACAGATTTGATCGTGCGGAGAAACGCCTCGTGTTGGTCAGGGACGAAGGGCTCATTTAATACCTTGATCCACTGTTATCTGCCGAGCCAACGACCCTGATAAGTCTGATAGCGTTTGATAGCGTGATAGCGGAGGTATTATTAATGGCTTATGCTCTGGGTTTCCCGTGGATGTCGGGGCGGATTTGATAACGACAATCTTCCGCGATGCGGGGTGCAGATGGAGTCATCGTTGCAAGTGACACTTGTTTGTAATGGTTACCCGAGTCATCCTATCATGGGCTTCACCTGAATGTCCGGGATTTGCCCATCTCGTCGGCCGAGGTTCTCCACGCTTATCCCTTGCCGCGATAGCAAGGCGAGGATGGGGGAGGGAAGGACATATATGACGCCCCGGCAGACGATGTCGGGAGCTCTTCCCTGCATTCCAACCAGCTGAGAGCAAGATTGACAGACCATCACCACAATGACTGCAACGCAGACCATTACCCAAACCGTGCCAACGATCGACGAAGTGAAGGTGGCAATTGATGCAGCCTTGGAGTCGGCGAAAACATCGCTACGAGAGCTCAACCGAGAGGTAGGCACGTAACTCTCTTTCCCTTGGAATGATTCTGATCATCGATTCTACCACAGATCTGGTGTAATCCAGAAACAGCCTACCAAGAGCATCGCGCCCATGACACTATCTGCGACTTCCTCGAGAAGCAAGGCTTCACCGTAACCCGTCACGCATACGGACTGGACACCTCCTTTGAGGCACTCAGCGGATCGGGTGGACGCTTAATTAACTTCAATGCCGAATATGATGCGCTACCTGACATCGGCCACGCCTGTGGTCATAATCTCATCACTACCAGCAGTATGGCTGCCTTCCTAGCGCTGTCGACTGTCCTGAAACAATTCGGTATCCCCGGTCGCACTCAGCTTTTGGGTACTCCGGCAGAGGAGAATGGCGGTGGCAAGGCCAAGCTGATTGACTTGGGTGCATACAAGGGTGTGGATGTGTCGTTGATGGCGTACGTATTGCCCAATTCTTTATGCTGCTTATCGTATCCATTGGGTTGCGTTTCCCTTTCGGCATACTGACCTTCTCAGTCACGCAGGACCCAAAGAACTATTCCCTGGCGTCGTAGCGGACAGCGTCGGTGGTGTGCGAATGAACGCTCGGAAAGAGATACATTGCGAGTTCACAGGTCGGAGTGCCCATGCTGGCGGCAACCCTTGGGAAGGAATCAATGCCCTCGATGCCTTGGTGACATCGTACAACAACGTGGCTGTACTGCGCCAGCAACTTCGCCCAGATGAGCGCATACACTGTGCTTTCCTGGATACGCCCACGGTGGCCAACATAATTCCCTCGTACACTAAAGCGTACTGGCAGGTTCGCAGCCCGACATTGAAAGGGTTGAACCAACTTATGGTCAAAGTGCGGAACTGCATTGAGGCAGGTGCATTGGCTACAGGTTGTGAGGCGAAGATTATTGAGTAGGTCTGTCAACAATCGGAGCAACAGAAGGTGAGCTGACCAGACCAGGAATGAATTGTATACCGACGTCAAGATCAACGACACCCTGTGCGACCGCTATAAAGCGCACATGTCCAAGTATGACCGGAATGTCATTGCAAGTCTTGATAAGGTCATGACAGGATCATCGGATATCGGTAGGTGTTCATGCTTCTTGTCAAGGTACCATGCTGACTTCTCTAGGCAATGTGAGCTACATTGTTCCGACCCTACACACCATGTTTGGTATCACGGATGAGCCAGGCTCCTTCCCCCATCATCCCAAATTTGCTGCAGCGGCTGGAACCGATTACGCTCATCAAGAGGCGGTGATTGTAGGCAAGTCTCTGGCGCTGATTGGGTGGGAGATGGTGACGAGCGATGAGTTGTTCGGGATTGCGCAGAAGCAGTGGAAGGAGTGTATCCAGGAGTAAGGCAGGATACACTGCCTCAATGACATTCTCGGCATCGAAGCACCACCTTATTTTTCGAGTGCATGCTCGGAACAACTCTCATGCTTGATGTCTTACAGACAGCCGTCAGGATATTTCTCGGTATATCCTCGGCGATATTACTCGGAGAAGGTGAAACATGGCGTCTGTCACTTTGTTTGTATACCCGATAGAAGTATAATCTTTCTCAGCGCAGATCACGAACGCACGATTGATGACCTTGACCCTGGCGATGCGCCAGCTACTAGTAGCTATGCTCAAACCACGGTGACTCCTTAGTGGGCGTCACTAAGACCAGGATGTGGACGTTAGCTCTACGACGGGGCAAAACTACCCCAAACTGAGATCAGACCCCTCTCCAAGTCTGTAGAAATTCACCTTCCAGAGAAGCACACTTTCTAGATACTTGCTACCATCTTCAACTACTTTCTGCCCCCCAGCCAGCCCTGTACGAGTCAGTCCCCAGCTGTCCTGCCGCTGACTAAGCGCCTGGAAGGTCATTTCGCTTCCAGTCAATTTTGTGTCCCTCCGAATTTCTTTTTCCCGATGAACTTTCCCGCTGCATCACCCACTGCCCCTCGCTTAAAATCCGTGATATCGGCTGTCTTCTTCTGCTTTTTACTAATGCCTGCCGGCTGATCCGATTCCTTCACGAGTGGGCCATTCATTCCATGTCGGGTCGGAACGCGCCTCGCTCGAAGAATGGTATGCCAACCCTTGCCCGAGTTCCCCGGAGTCGGCGGAAAGCTCGGGAAAAAAAGATCCCAGCGGACGGACAATTGTTGACTGACTGACTGACTGACTCGCATCTTACAGGCTGCAGCACCTGCCGCCGTCGTAAAGTAAAATGCGGGGAGGAGCGTCCAGTCTGCAAACGCTGCTTCAATCTACGACTGAACTGTGAATGGGGGATCCCCGTTAAGCGCGGCAAGGCCAATGCCCCGGTTCGGCATCTGCAGCCCGCGCAACCTCGTTGGCCGACCAGCGATGGCATCACCACTTGCTCCTCCCCATCTGCGACCACTCCCTCTCCTGTTCGCGCTGCCGTGACCAACAGCATTCTTCATCCTCATTATGCCAACACTCTAGCTGCCCTCTGGCATCGGCAGTCCCCCGGACCAGCCCCGGATTTAACCCCGGTTTCCCCAGATGTCAGTTTCCCCACGGGATGGCCGTTTCCGCCCTATGCGCAACCATCGCCACTCTACCGGCCCCTGCCCGGAACAGGTGCTCTGCCCTGCACCAATTCGCTCGTCTTGTCGGAGCATGATCAGAAATACTTTCAGTACTTCCCTTCCTCGTCTGTGGTGTTCTATTACATGAAGAATTGGCAATGGAGCAGCTTCCGCTATCTGTATGAGGGGCCCGCGGCTACCAGCAAGGTCATCATGCGCATGATCTTGGCTTTGTCTGCAAGTGATATGCATCGGAATGGTCTGGTTGTCCGGTCACCAGGTCGTCCGACCGCCGAGGATCACGGCCGGTACCACTATGGCATGGCCGTCAAGGAGTTCCGGCAATTACTGGAAACCCCTAAACCTCAGGTGTCGTTTGCGGAGCTTGAGATGATTTTCGCAACCATGTTCCTCATGGTCGCATACGAATGGCAATTCGGTCATTGTGTGCGTCATCTCCACCTCCATCTGCAGGGAGTGCGGTCTTTGCTGGAGACACATCCGGAATTGTTCCATGTGCGCGATGTCAACGAGGTGTTGCTGGCAATGGAGGCGGATCAACCCAGTGATACGGTATCTAGGGCTTCATTCATCTCGGACCAGTTCTTGCTATGGATACTGTAAGTATACTTCTTGCTTTAGTAGGCGTCGCTAATCGATCAGATACATCGATGTCAATCGTCGGTCGATCGGAACTACAGAGTCGCTCTACGACTACGTGCTCAACTCCGGCAATGAATCCCTTCACCCGGACCATCTGTATCGCTGCGCACGGCTCTGGAGTCGATGTTTCTGGGGAAAGCAATACCCGGACCAGGAGGTATCGGACGACATGGAGAACTACCGGGGGCTGGAGTTTGTACACGTCGGATACACATTATGGCATAAGCTCTGGAAATGCTTGGACGAGAAACATACCGAGTCTGGCGACGCACTGTTCGCCGAGATGATGACGGTTCGAGATGTATGTCAACCCCTGGTATTATCTTAATCTCCATGCTAACCAGTACAGAAATATTCCGACCTTCTTTTGACCGCCAAACTCGCCAGTCCGGGCTCCACCCGCCGCACGCTCAACACCATCTACATGGCCGTGAACAACTTCTACGCCCTGATCCTCTTCCACCGTCGTCTCTTCGATACAGCCCGCCCACCAGCCGCACTGCATCGCCAAGCCCTCAACAACATTATCGACAACGCCCACAAACAATACGTCGCAGACCCGCGCCTCTTACGACGACTACACTGGCCACTCCTAATGGCCATAGTCGAAACCGACGACCCAGCACAACGCGAGTGGTTACGTGAGCGGCTCTACGAGCTGCGATCATTCCACTCAGAACACCTATGGGCCTTTCAACTCGCAGAGGAGGTACTTGCTCGCCAGGACGCGAGCGCAGGGGAGTATGCGAATCTGGCGGAATTGCTGCGCAACCACCAGATCCGTTTGCAGTGATACCATATATATGATACCTTGTATACCAGATACTTTAATATGTAACCATTATATACATTATTCCATAATTGTCCTGGATTTATGACAAATTTTCCAAGAAATACGCATCATACGCAACCTCCCCCTTTGCCCTCGTCGCCCGTCCCACAATCACCCGGTTCGACATCCACCGGTACTTCTCATGTCCTGTCTCCAGTTTGATATGTAGATGGAACCAGTAACTCGCCGGATCAACACCATCGCCTTCCATCAACGCCTTTAGCACTTCGGGGGGTCCAGACCGGGTTCCTTCCGTCCTACACATGTCCATCAACATTAGCATATACCATCTCCAACTTCCTCTTTCAACCCTCAAATAGATCACAATAGACTAAATACCAACCTAACATATATATACGCCCCATCCTCACTCTTAATCACATAATTCGTATTCACATGCGTCGTCTGATTCTCTTCGACTAGCCTGCACCATCACCCCATAGTTAGCCTTCAATCCCAATCCAACTATTCAATCATCCAGTGAGGTATGGGTATGACATGGGATTAGGTACATAAAATCCGCCCCTCCGGGAACAACCTCTCCCACGAGATACTTCCCCCTCACAGTGCCAGACTTGATGGGCACGCAGCGTCGACGGCCGTACGGTCCCGTGCCGATTTCGAGGGGTGGGTCGACGGCGCACCGGAGTGTGAAGAGGTGGGTTAGGGTTGGGGGTGGGGAGATGGGCTCCATTTTCTTTGTTTTCTTTGTTTTCGGTTGAGGTCAATTGGGGGGGGTTGGTTTGAGAAAGAGAGGGTTGAGGGTGTCGATGTGGAATTAGAGGTATAAATTGGGTGAGGAGGACTGTTATATGTATGTGAACGAGGTTGTGGTGTGCGTGGAGTATTCCGGTGGAGAAGAAGTATATGAGTACTAATGGGAACGGATATCGGCAGTCGGGTGTGGGGGCCTCGGAGTAAGTTGGTGGTGGTGCTGGTAGATGCTGTAGTGTAGGGAGTTGTCTAGTACTAAGGGGATTGCAATTGGATTATGGATGTGAAGTTGGTTTGTATGTAGAGGGTGATGGCTGGAGTGGTGACATCATGTTTAAGTTGGTTTGAGTTGAGTGCTGATCATTGGATGGTATATATTTTGGGACTGGGAGTTGGGATAATGTTGGGGTGTGCCATGATTTACTCAGTTAGGTGTTCGAAGCTTTGGAAATATGATTATTGATTCCGAGTCAATGGTAGTGAGGACACAGATACTGGGTATAGATTCATTATAGGTTAGGATTTCTGTGGTTTAATAGCAGCTTGCCATAATTCAATGGATATATTAACAGCACACCCTAAACGCCTGCCCAGACTAATTATGCACATATGCCAGTTTCCAATGACTGGTCTCCGCGTCGAGCGAGACTGCATCGGCAGTCTGCTCATCCATCAAGCGGGTATAATGTTACACGCTCGTTTGAAGATCGCATCCGCATGCGCACCCTAGCTCGCGATTCGCCAATAAGGATATGATGACCTTATGATTCTTTCTTCGCTTGACACCGGATAGAATGGATGATGGAGTGTTCGTTTACGCGCCACCGACGAGGACGTTGTTAACGGGGATGTGGACTACATTCAGTCAGTTTACCGATCTAGCAGGGGGTTAATCCAGCTCCCAAAGAGCAACATACTCAGCTTGACAATGTAACCGATGAATCCCATGATCAGGAAGCCAGTACCGACAGCCTGGCTGATCTTGATGAACTCGCGCTTGTCGGCTATATAGCAAAACTTATTAGCTTGAATCCAGAGGAGTGCTGCACGAGCAACGGGCCAACTCACGCTTCTGACTGCGGTGGACAAACTGCACGCCATCCCTGAGGAACTCCCGAGGGACGTTGAGGAGCTCTTGCACCTGGTCGGACATTTTGACGAAGCGAAGGAATGGATGCTGAGGTGTCAATGGAGGCGAGGTGAAATGGGGATGGATGGATGAACGCGAATGGGCCAGCTGTGCTCTTTTGGTGGTCGGCGAATAATGGCGTCGCTCGGTCGGACTCGAAAGGGGCGGATTATCTACTCTCCGAGGTCCTGGCCACGTATCAGTTGGTTGGTCACGGGTGTGGCTGAGTGCTTGTGGCACGGTCACCAATGTGGCTGGGGAGGGTCCCGGTTTACCCCGGATCGTATCCCGAGTTGCTCCATTGGGATAGATACTCTTTTCCGATTGTGGGGGTTCTCGTTCGCGCTCTTCTTTTCTTCTCGATTTCATCTTGGACTCCATGAACCACCATGCTGTTCAGTCGTGATTTCTAGCCACTTAATGGACAAGTGCTAATAGCACCCATCGAGCGATGATACTGATCCTGACATACTAAACTCGACTGCTGCTACTTTGGAGGCGTGATGACGGCCAACGAAGCAATGGTGCTGCCCAGACAAACTCGACATCGCTCCATGGAATTGCAGACCAAAACATGCCTAAGAGCGCGTCGCTTGATGCGGGTTTCCTATGATCCATCACAATGAGCTCCAGACGCATGTGTTCAAAGGCTAAAAGCAATGAGTATGGCTGCCTGACGCTAACACCCATCAGCTAGATACAATTTCTCACTCTCGTCTCCCTGAGACCTGCAAATTATTATTCACAAGATTGCATAAAGGCAATCTACATCCTGCCAATGACTGTTCTGCTACAAACATCGCTGTGATCAAATCCCTCAGGTCGCCCTGCATCTCCGGCGGACTAACTATTAGTCTCACCCCGCCGTGCTGCATCGAAATTACAGCTGGTTGCACTTCCCTATCCGAGCATCGTCTTGCAGGAGCTGGGCTCGGCGATCGACATGATAGTGCATCCCAACCAATTATATCTGTCATGACTACTGAGCTGATAAGCTCTACAGGCTTGATTCGTTCTCATTGTGTCAGCACCAGACCCCGATACAAATCACTAGTACCGAGCAGCTATGGACTATTACGATATTTAAGATACCCCTTTTGTTTACTCAACAGCAAGCACCAGGGACCGCCAGTACAACAGTCACCATGTCTGTCCAAACAGCTTGGGAAGCCTGCGACAAAATCGATACGCTATTCATTCTTGTCTGCTCTGTCTTCTGCTGGCTTATTATCCCGGCTGTCGGGCTCGCCTACTCTGGCTACTCCACTCGTTTCAATAGCATTGCTTCGTTCTACCCAGGCCTTTTGGCGGTCGCCGTCTGCTCGATCCAATGGTGGATGCTGGGATATTCGCTCGCTTACGGTGAAGGCAATGGCTTCTTTGGGGGCTTCAGCAAAGTATTTCATATCGGCGTCCTCGCTGAACCGGTTGGCTCGATTCCTGAGATTCTCTTCTCAGAGTTTCAGCTCATCTTCTGCGCGACCGTGTGCGCTATTGCAATCGGAGGAGCTTGTGAGCGCGGTCGGCTCCTTCCATTGATTCCATTTATCTTTGTAAGAGCAGTCTCCTCGTCCCTCAACATTTGCTAATTTCTCTAGCTCTGGTGTACATTCATATATGCTCCTCTAGCCCACATGGTCTGGTCGGAGAACGGCTTTCTCGCGAATCTTGGTGCTCTCGACTTTGCCGGAGGCACTCCCGTGCATATTTGCAGCGGTGCCACCGCCACAGCAATGAGTGTATACCTTTCCTACCCCCTGTTTCGGTCGCGACGCTCTCAGATTCGAACCCCGCAGCACCTGTTATTGCATCGGCCACACAACACTTTGTGCCAACTGCTAGCCCTGATCATCATATGGAATGCGTGGCTTGCCTTTGACGCGGGAACTACGCTCGCTCTCAACTTTAAGAGTGTCATGACTGCCTGCGTGACGAATCTCTGCGCCTCCTCAGGCGCTCTCACCTGGGCGAGTCTGACCTACTGGGAGACCGGAAAGTGGAGTTTGGACAGCACTTTCTTAGGCGCGATCGCAGGACTCGTTCTAATCACGCCGAGCGCAGGCTTCATCGACATGAGCACGGCAATGGGTTTTGGCGTCCTAGGTGCTGCATGCGGGTATCAAGCTCTCAAAATCAAGTTAACCAAACGAGCGAAGCTTCTGCGCTGGGTCGACAACGGGGACACGTTTGCTACACACTGCCTGGGTGGGTTCTTGGGCACGATTGTAACTGGCCTATTTGCGCAACGAGAAGTCGCAGCATACGACGGCGTCACCGACATCGTCGGCGGGTGTTTCTTCGATGGCAACTGGAGACAGCTAGGAATACAAATCGTCGAAGCGCTGATCGGGTTCGTATGGAGCTTTGGGGGAAGCTACATTCTGTATGCCTTGGTGGACTGTGTGCCCGGTTTTGAGGTATTGGCGACGGATGAGTACGTGCACCGCCCCCAGCTTATGAACGCAACTAACTTTAGTAGGGACGTGATCGCGGGAATGGACAAATCCCAAATGGGCGAATCTCTGCACGAGGAACAATGGGCTGGAGAAGAAGATTACCATCCCTTCGAGGGAATTCGCTTGTAACATTCAGGTCAGCGCTAGCGCCGTCCAGTCAGAGTAACAACATTATTTTCCATCCTCTATATACCACCATACTGCCAAAAATATAACCTAGTTGAAGACAACAGTCTTGTGTCCGTTGAGCAGGACTCTCCGCTCAGCGAAGTACTTCACGGCCGTAGCCAAGACATTGCTCTCAACGTTGGAACCAGCATGGGTCAACTCCTTGGGGCTCATAGCATGGTTGACGCGAACAACATTCTGCTCAATAATCGGACCCTCATCCAAATCACTGGTGACAAAGTGCGCGGTAGCACCGACAATCTTAACACCACGGTCGAAAGCCTGGTGGTAAGGCTTAGCACCCTTGAAGCTGGGCAAGAAGCTGTGGTGGATGTTGATAATCTTTCCAGACATAGCCTCGCACAGCGTAGGCGATAGAACCTGCATGTAACGGGCCAGAACAACCAGATCGATGTTGTGTTCGCGGATGAGCTCCAAGATGCGTCCCTCCTGCTGGGGCTTGGTGTCGGCGGTGACGGGGAGATGCAAGAAGGGGATGTTGTAGGTAGCAGCCAGGGTAGCGAAATCGGGGTGGTTGGAGACGATCAGAGGGATCTCGATGGGGAGCTGGCCGGTCGAGGCGCGGAAGAGGAGGTCGTTAAGACAGTGGCCGATCTTGGAGACCATGATCAGCACGCGTGGCTTGGAGGAGGCGGGGACGAGCTGGAAGGTCATGGTCAGGGACTCGGCGGTGGGCTGGAAGGCGGCGCGCAGGTCGTCGAGGGACTTGGCAGGGGAGGATTCATCCTTGAAGTGCACGCGCATGAAGAAGCGCTGGCTGGTCGGGTCGCCATATTGGCTGCTGTCGATGATGTTGAGGTTTTGTTGCACCAGGTAGGCGGTCACGGCGTGCACGATGCCCGGGCGGTCGGGGCAGGAGAGGGTGAGGATGTAGCTCATGGTGGTGGTTGCTGCTGAGGGATACCGAGGTGGTGGGGTGATGTTGAATCAAGCAGTGGGTTGCTCTTAGGAATGACTTCAGTTCCTGACAACGAAGCAGAATTGAATTTCGGCCGTTGGGCGCCCCGCCGCGAAACAGCGAGGATCTTTGCCCGGTTTCGGTCATGATTTGATGACTCAGGCGGGGTGCGGTGATTGATAAGATTAGGGCTTGCTAGTAGGGCTACGCTGCAAGTCACATGGTCTGCACTGGATTTCCTCTTTGGGCTCGTGTGATGGTTGTCCCGTGCGGATTGCCGGATGCACAACGGCATTGTCTCCTGCTTATTGTGGCGGCGCCACCAGACTGCCGGATTGCCATTTTGGTAAAGGGAACGGTCTCCTTTGAGGTCGCTTGTCACGATGGCTTCAAGATTGGGCGACGAGGAAATCAGTCTACTCTACGTGCCATGCCGGGATGCGGTCCGTATAGCCGTAACATATCCGTGATCATGGAATTTTGAGATAGGCAGCATGCATTTGCAAAGGTATAAAGAGCTCGACTTTCCCCTATGATCATCATCACAGCATCCGCATTCATCACAGCAGAACTCAGAAGCCCAAGAGCTCAAGCAGTGAATCGCAATGTCTTCCTTTCAGATCTACCGAGCAGCTCTGCTGCTCTCCATCCTTGCCACTGCCAATGCTCAGCAGGTTGGAACCTACACCACTGAGACGCATCCGTCTTTGACCTGGCAAACCTGCACCAGCAGTGGCAGCTGCACTACCAATAACGGCGAGGTGGTCATTGATGCCAATTGGCGCTGGGTGCACTCGACCTCCAGCTCCACCAACTGCTACACCGGCAACGAGTGGGACACCTCGATCTGTACCGACGATGTGACCTGCGCCGCGAACTGCGCGCTCGATGGTGCCACTTACGAGGCGACCTACGGTGTGACTACCTCCGGCGACGAGCTGCGCCTGAACTTCGTCACCCAGGGCTCCAGCAAGAATATCGGGTCCCGGCTGTACCTCATGAGCGATGACAGTACCTATGAGATGTTCAAGCTCCTCGGCCAGGAGTTCACCTTTGACGTGGACGTTTCCAACCTCCCCTGCGGTCTCAACGGCGCGCTGTACTTCGTCGCCATGGACGCTGACGGCGGCACCTCGGAGTACTCTGGCAACAAGGCCGGCGCCAAATACGGTACCGGATACTGCGATTCGCAGTGCCCCCGCGACCTGAAGTTCATCAACGGCGAAGCCAACTGCGACGGCTGGGAGCCCTCTAGCAACAACGTCAACACCGGTGTTGGCGACCACGGCTCTTGCTGTGCCGAGATGGACGTCTGGGAAGCGAACAGCATCTCCAATGCCTTCACCGCACACCCATGCGACTCCGCCAGCCAGACCATGTGCGACGGCGACTCCTGCGGTGGAACCTACAGCGCCAGCGGCGACCGCTACAGTGGCACTTGCGACCCCGACGGCTGCGACTACAACCCCTACCGTCTGGGCAACACGGACTTTTACGGCCCCGGCCTGACTGTCGACACGAACAGCCCCTTCACCGTCGTCACCCAGTTCATCACCGACGACGGCACCTCCTCCGGTACCCTGACCGAGATCAAGCGGTTGTACGTGCAAAACGGCGAGGTCATCGCCAACGGCGCCTCCACCTACTCCAGCGTCAACGGCAGCTCGATCACTTCCGATTTCTGTGAATCAGAAAAGACTCTGTTTGGCGATGAGAACGTGTTTGACACGCACGGCGGTCTCGCAGGCATGGGCGAGGCTATGGCGAATGGAATGGTCTTGGTCTTGAGTCTGTGGGATGACTACGCCGCTAACATGCTCTGGCTCGACAGCGACTACCCCGTCAACTCGTCGGCCTCGACACCGGGTGTGGCTCGCGGTACTTGTAGCACTGACTCGGGTGTCCCGGCTACTGTGGAGGCGGATTCACCCAATGCGTATGTCACGTACTCGAACATCAAGTTCGGGCCCATTGGCTCGACTTACTCCAGTGGATCTTCTTCGGGGTCGGGGTCAAGCTCCAGCTCCAGCTCTACTACCACGAAGGCGACTTCAACGACCTTGAAGACTACCACGACGACCAGCAGCGGTAGCAGTTCTACTTCGGCGGCGCAGGCATATGGACAGTGTGGTGGACAGAGCTGGACGGGTCCGACCACTTGCGTGAGTGGATACACTTGCACGTATCAGAATGCGTACTACTCGCAGTGTTTGTAGATACCTTCTGGACGATAGTCGAGACGACAGTGTGGGGAAGATTAGGGATTAGTTAGTGAATGGTAGTTAGCACACGTACTACAATTTAGTTAAGATTACTAGGGAGCAATATGACATGATCACTTGACACCGAATCTACCAACCACTTTCCTCAAATCACACTACACTATACCAATACTATATATAATAAATTAACTTCCCGTACCCGACGCCCAACTTAGGCACAAGCCAATCAATCAATCAATCAACCATCACCTAATAACTCCTTCCCCTCTACTCACATATCTGCAGACCATCCGTGCGGAAAGCCTAAAGTAGTGCTGACATGACCAGCGCCAACCCCAGACACACCACATGGCTGGACGGGATATTCTCCGCACCCAATACATGCATCCTCTGCAGGAAGCTTGGCTTTAGTTTTCCGTTCCATTCCCCCTTTCCCGAAGCGATGACGATCCGGTCCTTTCCGGATCAGCAAAGGGGAAAGAGCATGAACCAAGTTACCTACAAACCGGTTGGTTCTTGGTTTCTTTTGCGCACCCGTGACGAATCCGGTTGCCCGTTCTTGTTTAGGAAATGGGCCGATGGGTTTCTGATGGAGTGTTATGGATTGTCGGTCCGGCTGCCGGGTAGTTGGATAGTATTCTGGCAGAATGTGTGATCGTTTGTGATGGGATGGATATAAATGACTGGTTTCATCTGTCTTGACAGATTGGTATGAAGCACAGCCAAAGAAGAGAAACGGATACTGTGTGACAGAGCAAGATGAAGACTCTCTCCCTTGTAGCTGTCTTGCTCGTTCAAGCCTGGACTGCGAGTAGCAGTCCGAGGGCAAAGCGGTCTTCGGGCTTTCAATGTACCTCTTCTTCCTCTACTACCCTTTCTAAAGTCACATGTTGATAAGTGAGCAGGGTTCGGTAGCAACGAGTCTGGTGCTGAATTCGGCTCCGGGAATATCCCCGGTACTCTGGGCACGGATTACATCTGGCCTGATGCGACGGCCATCGAGACGCTGCATAGTGCGGGGATGAATATCTTTCGCGTGCCGTTTCTCATGGAGCGGTTGGTGCCAAATGAGTTGACTGGTGCGGCGGATGCGACGTATATGGCTGATTTGAAGGCTGTAAGTTCCCTTGTCGGGTTTAAGATGTGCTGTTGCTGATGGTAATGGGGGTGTGGTGTAGACGGTGCAAACCATTACAGATCTGGGTGCTTATGCGGTGGTGGATCCGCATAACTTTGGGAGATAGTATGTCTTTCCCTTCATTCACTCTCCTTTGGTATAGCACTAATATGATATGCTATCCAGCTATGGCAACATCATTACTTCAACGAGTGACTTCGCAGCCTTCTGGACAACAGTAGCCAGCGAGTTCACCGACAATGACCTGGTCATCTTCGATACCAGTACCTACCCTACCTTCCCCAATCTTCAGCAACATATACTAATAGTGAGATAGACAATGAATTCCACGACGAAGACCAAACCCTAGTCCTGAACCTCAACCAGGCTGCCATCACGGCCATCCGCGCCACCGGCGCCACCACGCAATACATCTTCGTCGAAGGCAATTCCTACACGGGTGCCTGGACTTGGACCACCACCAACACGAACCTCGTCAACCTGACCGACCCCAACGATCATCTCATCTACGAAATGCACCAGTACCTGGACAGTGATGGCTCCGGGACAAGCTCGACATGCGTTAGCTCAACGATCGGTGCGGAGCGCATTGCCGATGCCACGAGCTGGCTGAGGGAGAATGGGAAGCAGGCGGTGTTGGGAGAGTTCGCGGGCGGCGCGAATAGTGTTTGTGAGGAGGCGGTCACTGGCATGTTGGATGCAATGGTCGATGCGAGTGATGTTTGGTTAGGGGGGATGTGGTGGTCTGCTGGACCTTGGTGGGGGGATTATATCTTTTCGTTGGAGCCGGATGATGGCATTGCGTATGAGTATTATTTGAGCGTGTTGGAGGGGTATACTCCTGGTTCATCCTCTTCCGGGTCTTCTACTACAAGTGTGGTGACGAGTGCCACCAGTACGTCTGCTGCTGGGAGTGCTACTACGAGCAAGGTGACTACTACCACTGCTGCTGCTACTGCTACATCGACGGCTGTGGCTGCGCATTATGCGCAGTGTGGTGGGCAGGGATGGACTGGGGCGACGACTTGTGCGGATGGATATACTTGCACGGTGGAGAATGCGTGGTATTCTCAGTGTTTGTGATGAGTTACTTAGCTATATATATCAATGAGTGAGTGAGTGAGAATGATATGTGAGGTTGTATACCAACTACTGATAGTCTGGAAAGTCTCGGCTAAGCGCGTTCCCGGCCGGCAATGGGAATTGCCGCGGATCTGCCCCGAAGGGTTTATCCATTTCTGTGGGGTGTGATTGGGTGTAGTCAGGCATATGCAGTGAGACAGGGTTAAGGTTATTTACAAGGTATGCTGATAGTCATGTACAACTTTATTTCTTTCTTTTTTTTATCATGTTTGTTTCTTCTTTATGTTTGTAATAGTGTGGAGTGGTAAAGCTGTGGATGGGATGGAGTGGGATGCCTTCTCTGGAGGAGACATGAGTCAATTGTAAACCTGTAGCCCTAGGGGTTGAGGGCTTGTTCAGTCTGTGTAATATTCCTCGACCAGAGTAAGTGGCAGACAGTTTAGGTACTGGAGTTTGCTAAGAATACTCCATAATAAGGGCTGAACTGATAGATCTGGAGGATTGGCAGCGCACGTGCCATGCCATGCCTCAACATCCACAATGGTAGAACCAGATATCTCTCTTATTGGATAGGGCTGATATAATAACGGAGAGAATTCGAATACTATAACAATTCTAACGATAATTGAACCCTTGAGCATACTTGAATATTTCTGCTGTATCGGCAACCCCGGATTGCCGGTCGCGGATGCCGGCTCCCCGCATTACCGCATTGGGCGAAATGTCGGCTGCGCTTCTCGCCTTCATTCCCGATCGCATCTTTGGCTCTTCCTCTTCATCTTCTCCTGTCTCCAGGGGACTATGTTCCGTGCCATTGCTCGATCACCCCTCTTCTCTACTATTCCTACCAAACGCGCACCCCTCCCTTTCACTCTCACAGCCTCCCTCTTCACTCCTACCGCCCCCGCCAACATGAAGCATCATCTTATGGTCGGTACCTGGACCCCTCCAGGCCGCATCTACACTGTCGCCTTTGACGATGAGGCCCTCACTCTCGACCTCGTCAAGAAGACCGACATCCCCGAGGCTGAGCCCATCTCCTGGATGACTTTCTCGGTAGGCATAGTCTTCAATGCGTCCTCCGCTACTCCCCGCTCACTCCCCTCCAGCACGACAAGAAGGCCATATATGGCGCCGCCATGAAGAAATGGAACAGCTTCGCCGTCCACAGCCCCACGGAGATTGTTCACCAAGCCTCTCACCCTGTTGCTGGTCACGGTGTGTATTCCCTCTCTCTCTCCTCTGCCATGGACCTCGCTAACTTCTCAGAACTCGCCGCCAGCGCCGACACCAACACCCGCGCCATCTTCGTCCTCGCCGCCCACAAGCCCCCCTACAACGTCTACGGCAACCCCTTCTACAAATATGCCGGCTACGGCAACGTCTTCTCTGCCGGTCCCGATGGCGCTCTCGTCGAGAACATCCAGAACTACGAGTACGAGCCCAACACCGGTATCCACGGCATGGTCTTCGACCCCACCGAAACCTACCTCTACTCCGCCGATCTCCAGGCCAACAAGATCTGGACACACTTGAAGGACCCCGAAACCGGCAAGCTGACCCTGGTCGACTGCATCGAGGCTCCCTCTCCCGATGACCACCCCCGCTGGGTCGAGATGCACCCCAGCGGCAAATACCTGTACGCCCTGATGGAAGCTGGCAACCGTCTGGCCGTGTACGTCATCGACGAGCGCACACACAAGCCCGTCTTCACCCACATCACATACCCCCTGTTGCCCCAGGGTCTGCCCCCGCGCAACAAGTACCGCGGCGACGTTACCTTCACTACCCGCAGCGGCGAGTACCTCTTTGCCACGACCCGTAGTAACCACTTCGATGTCACGGGATACATCACGGCGTTCAAGCTGGGCCCGAACGGTAACATTGAGAAGCAGCTGTTCATTCACCCTACGTCGACGAGTGGTGGACACTCGAACGCGGTTAGCCCGTGCGACTTTAGCGATGAGTGGTTGGCGCTGTGCGATGACCAGCTTGGATTTGTCGAGATCTACCGCTTCAAGGATGAGACGTTGGCTCGGGTTGCGCGTGTGGATATCCCGGAGAAGGGATTCGGTATGAATGCTATTTGGTATGATTAATGGAAAAGTATATAGAATGTAAATAGACGATGATATGCTTGATGCCTCTGCAGAGGATGTACCAAATCACTGCAAAATACTAAAAGCGATAGTACAGCACTCACCAGAAGTATCTCTCACACTACTAACTGACTACAGAGTAGAACAACAATCCCGCAGAGAATGTAATTGACACCTCAACATTGACTAATACAAAGACCTACTCACTACCACATTAAGGTACACTCTACTACTACTACCATCTAACCTACCAGACCAGGTCACTGCTAAGATTCCGCCCGAACTGAACTGACATTCCCTCCCAGAACAATCCTCCTATGACTACTAGACCTTATAATCAAACCTGTACAAAATCGCTAGCAAAAGCGCGAGTATACAACTACAATATGATATATCAGAACCTTCCAAAGTACTACTTCGTACATACTAACTATATTATACAGCGCAGTGAAGCAATCAATATGCATCAATACCCAATCCCCTCCTATACCACGCTTGAAATAAATAACTCATCCCGAATGAACCCGAACAGGCCCAGAACCACAACCGCCCTTCTTCAGACCCCTTAGCTTCAAATCCCATCCAAGTTTCAAGATATAAATCCCGAATACAAATCCCGATTCACCAGACAGTAGTACTATAACATAGTATATTAAGGTGATATCTGCAAGCAATCCTTGGTTCTTGTTCCTTGGCTAGGACTGACTGTGGCCACTGTATAACTACTGGTGATATATCATATTATATCATATCATACTATCCTGTCATGTCATGTCATGTTATGATGTTCTCCACTACCGGCTTCGTTAATTATGAGTACGTCGCTAACGGCGGCAGGATCCTTCTTACTACTATTTATTTATACGAATACGAATACTGGTAGGACGTCGAGTAGTATATTTCTTGGCTTAGTGGTTAGTGCGTCAACACTTGCGCATACTATGTATATAATAGTAGAAATTGATACCTCACAAGACCGTTAACTGGTAAGTCATCAGTAGTTTACAGCTCCAAAGTACCGTTACTCCAAGCTAACCACTCACTACTCTACGAAGTATAGATAATAGTAGTAGTAAACATACTCGCACCGGCTGTATTCTCCGCCCAACCGGGATGCATCCCGACTCGATACTTCAACTTTCCCTGCATATGCGAACTGTCGGCAATTGATTGATCGATCGGTCGATCGATCATCAACCACCGAATGTGATCTATCAATCGAGAACTATCTACGTAGTCCGGGGTTCGTCCGAAATGCCAGATCCCGATGCAAGTCTACCAAGCTTTTCTAGATCTGACGAGTCCACATCACTGCCAAGTACTCCGTATAGTACGCGGTTTTCACCATGAAATTGGATCGGTAACGAAGTAAATCATTATATTCATGCGCTCGCTCTATGCAACATGCTATAGATGCAATATATGCGATGTTCATTAATCCCAAAATATCAGGGAAATCAAAAAGGAAAAAGCATAAAACAAAGGAAAGATCCACCCACTCCAGCCCAATGCAACCCAAATAACGTATACACCCAGGGGAATCGATCAATCGAAAAAAGTCAAAGGTATCAGTATCAGACATGCTCCCTCACCCCCACAGTACTATGTGACGTGCCTCCCGAGGAAGTCTGCGTCACTTCAAACGTCCGATGGATACCTAATCCCATGCCTAATTCCAAATCAGACCCCTCGGGGATTGTTCCATGCGTCCGCTCCGCGTTGCCCGAGGATCCCGTCAGCCGTTCCTCACTGCTGTTGGATGACCCGCCGCGCCAGAGTCGCGTATCGGGGTCCACCTGGCTTTGGATCGTCGTTACGGTCACGGCCAGTTTGTCTGGCCGGAGACGGTTCTGCACGGCGGCTTCGTCGAGCGAGCCTAGTGGGTAGGGCCGGTCGTGGCTGCGTCCCATGCCGCCGCTTTTGCCGAGCGGGCGCGAGCCGGAGGGACCGGGGAAAGGGGATGCGTCGTAGTTGTGGTCGGCGCTGGAGCCGAGCCATTTGCGGAGAAGGGGGCGGAGGGTGGCGAGACTGCCGGCGGTGATACCTAGGCCGCATTCGATGTTGGACCAGAGGGCGATTTCGACGGTTGCGTCTGGTGGTTGGGTTAGTAAAGGGGTTTGTGTGGGTTTGGATAGAGTGAGAGGCGTACAGAGGAAGTCCCAGTCCGCGAAGGTATGTACCCATGGGATACGGATGATGGTGGCAGAGGAGGCGCTGTTGGAGTTGGTTAGTTTCATCGGTTATGCTTCGAAGTAGCAAGGTAACATACATGCATGCCATACTCAGAATGCCCACCACGGCCATTTTCGTTTTATGCTTCATGTGCAACTTGCGCACAAGGAAGATAGGCAAAAGCCCGACGGTAAAATCGCACAGTGCTGCGAACCCACTGTATACGTAGGTCATGGCGATGACGATTTGAATGTCCATGCAGTGGCCGTGGATATCCGGGTTGAAGGCCTTGCGAGTCCAGAAGTAGGCGAGCGGCTTGCACTGCAGCAACATGATGAACATGAAGACCATGCCGGCAATGACGGTCAAGACCATGACGGTCCAGAGGATCCAGATATGAAGGCGTCGAACAGTAATGCGCATCAAGAAAATGCAGACGGAGATTTTACAGGCGACGGCCGCAAAACAATAGGCGATTTCACAAAACCACCAGTACTATAGTCGGCCCAGGTTAGGTTGAATGTGTGAGGGTGAAAGGAAAGGAGTACCCACCTCCATGGCGGTTACACGCTGATGCGCATCCAAGTCTTTGAAACGTCGTCCAGTACCGTATATACTGCCTCCAATCATGCATCCCGAGAACATGGCGTAGAAGCCCTAGACATGCTGCTGATTAGAACACCATACGTTGGAAGTCAATACAGGATCAGACGTACCATGGCCACCACCATGGCCCAGTCATCCCAGCCGAAGGCTCGCACGATCCATCCGCGCACATAACATCGTAGTATGACAGTCACACATGCAACTGACATAAAGGCGGCCGCAACCGCCTTGACCTCGAGGCTGCGGTCATCCTTAGCCATGCTACAGACGCAGTCGAGGCATGTTCGAGAAAGCTCAGCTCAGCTCCCGCGGGGTGGGGATGACCCAATATATGAGAAGTCCCGAAATGCCGGGGAGGTCCAGAACCAGTACCGGGACTAGCAGTAGACACGAAGCTAATCGCGTCGGATCCCAAACGGTGCAGGACTAGTCGGGTCGCAGATGTTCATCCGTCCTCCGCCAGGAGACGGTGATGGGCTTGTGCGCACTCCTAAAAGAGAAGGCGATCTACGTAGGACTAACTTGAGCCAGGCGAGCTGAGCAGGCTCGCTTAGTTGGACTGCAGGAAGTGTCAATTTGTTTCTACTTTTGCAGATGTTGGACCGTGTCCACGGTCCAGTATAATTGCGGTGGATTCAGGGCTGGCAGGCCGTTGTTGGGTCTTGTCTGTGGATGGGAGACGTGAGCGGACTCCCTTCGAGTCAGGGCCCGTCTGCGAATGGCTTCTGATTTCTTAAGCGTGTTTGCGATTAGTCTGAATTTGGAGGTGGAGGAGATGCTGCTCCAGCCTGTCGGTAGTTTCAGTGCATCAGTGGACGTCAATTGGGTGCGTGGTGCTGTCGATCCACTTCGGTCGGATTTGCCACCAGGAAAGGAAGCATCCCCGACGGACGAGTCAGGGACGGTGCAGAAATTTTATACTCTATTGGGACAGGGGCCGTCCCTCTCTAACTGTCATGGGCAGGGAGTCCCCGAATGCGAGGGGTAGAACCATGGATGGAAGGGAGTTTAGGTTGTTGGTTTGGCACTTGGGTGTTGCTGTGGTTGCAGTGGATTGAATCCAGGGGCTGGGAAGAAGAGGAACCGCGTTGCTCAACCGACGCGTTCCCAGCAAAAATAGAAGTACAAAAAACAGTAGGAGAAGGAGAAAAACCCCTCCATCTTTCCAGGAGTTACTGTCCAAATAATTCAGACATCTTGTGTAGCGAAATCCCCGCCCCGTCAGAGATTGACAGCCTCACGACTCAAGCAGATCCTCTGCTATTTGGGAAAAAAGAGGGCTTCACCGGGTCTCCTTCGCCGGCACGGAAGCCCATCCGGAGGGTGGGGATAGCCCGCCTCGAGGCACGGATGGCAAACAACAAATTGAATGAATGCAAATAATGTGGTATGAAATCTCCAGCCATCAAAAGGAATTGCCACTATTGACTGTCGCTCAGATCCAATGCGGCATGCATCAATAGCCCGCTTCTCGAACGGTGTTGAATGCTCTGTGTGGATCCCTTCAGTATGTTTTAATTTTGACACTGAGCTATATCGATCACTCATGCCAGAAACCATTCATTTCAACCCGGTCAAATTGATGCCTACCTTTAGTTAGCCCGGCGGATTACAATCCTGACTCCGACTGCAGGATGCAGGATCATCTCAGTGAGCAATCTTACTGCTCCTGCATGGGCCCCTCCCCTCCTCCCGCCTTTTTGTGCAGGTCCCAGACGGACGGTAGCCTCTTGACTTTCTTTTCCCATTTGGAGGAAAGTCGCGGACGCTAAAATGCCTGGCACAGGAACACTAAGCGGATCTAACATGGTCGATGGAGCGATTGATAGAACGCAAGAGCAGTCGACTAGCAGCACACTGCAGACAGCAGGCCCGCATGCCGAAGTGTAATTTAAATTGGCGTTAATTTTAGAAAGAAGTCCCCGAGCTGATCCCCAGTCAAGGCCATTGTTCCCTCTGAGTCTGGCATGTGAGCCCGACCCAAAAAAGATAACAGGAAAATAATACCGGCACATATATGGGGACCACACTGCGTGGACCTTCTTTGACTGCTGGCTGACGTTGATCCCCGACGGAGGAAGGGCCTGTCACTAAGAAATCCAGTTTGGCCGTTTCACCATCGGCAGGCCATGAGGAGTCCCAACGTAATCCTCATCTCAGTGACACACAGGCGTGCGTAGGAAAGGTCCATCTTGCCACATGGAAGCCATTTGTCCGAGCGCGTCCGCAGCACGTGGCGGATTTTCCAAAAAAGAAACGACCAAGACGATTGACTGCGATAGATCAGATGCTGCCACTATCCGAGTTCCACCGCACACAAAACAGCCGACCAGCAACAAGAAAACATAATTAAAATCGAATGCTTCTCACGGAATCGTAGCCCTCGCAAGTCCGCGGAAACCCGGCAACGTACTAAACCAGGGTTGTTCCGCAATCTCCGTCGATCGGAAACCGTTTCCAGAAAGAAAAAAGTCCCTCGCAGCTCGCCACACACACACAAACAAACAGTAAGCAATGGTGCAGCAGGAACTCCTTCCCCCCTGAAGTCCGCCTGTAATAATTGCTTTTTTGATATTCGTCTTGATCTCGGCACGTGCAACGGACAGGGACTGGCGGGATGAGTGACATTCCTAGAACATTCCTGATCGGCTACTTAGTGCCTGTCTTGCTTTTTCTGCTTTGGAGACTAGTCTTCTGACTGGTCTTCTTCAAGGGGTCCCCAGTGACTAGCCAGGCTAAATTTTCGTATCCCTGCAAGGACAAGACGGCTAGGATGAACCCATTCCCGCTGTTATAGCACGATTAGGAGAACTTCCTGCAGCATGAGCATCCCCTGAGGACGGCTCACGTCGAGAAGCTAGCGACTGACTGCCGTCAAATCTGCATGTTCGCGATTCAAGTACTCTGTCAGTCAGCCGTCTTTGAGCGAAGCTCATAGCTGTCTCCAAATGACGGCTCGCAGGACCCTTTTCGAACTCTCCACTGCTTGATGCCCAACAGAGTATTATTATAATGACATCCGGATATCCCCTCAACAGGAAATTCAGTGTGCTCAGGCCCGAGTACCATCTAAACCTGGTTAGCATCAGTTAGTCTAGGGACAGTCGGTCTGCCTATGGCCCAGGCTGGCCGGAGTGACCTACACCGACCAGGTGCAAATCAATGCCAAAGAGACAACGACTTTACGAAATCGCGCCTGGCTCTGTTGGTGCACCTCGTTGTTCCGTTCATCCGGTGTCTAGAAGTTGCAAGACCATGATGTTTCACGCATTCTATCAGACAGATCAAGTCCCCTACAGCATGTGACTGTTTCGGTGGCAATCAGTGGAATCGACATCGATGAACAGACTGCCAGGTCAGCAGATGTCTGAATAATTAAAGTCACGACGCAGTCCTGCATGCACTCATCCTACCGATGGCTGCATACCCGGGTTACTCAACCCGCCAATTGCTTTGACCGCATCCAATGGAGGCATGGCTTCATTGCAATTGGAACCTCGTCCAAACTCACTGTACAACCTCGTGTAAACTTCACGTAGGCACTGGCAACTACCCCCGGTCGGCCCTGAGTTTCCCGAGTATACTCATGCCGCGGCGTTGATACTTAAAAGGGGATATCATGCCATCAATCGTACGATTGTTGACCGCTGCTCTACGCACAGGCATAATGCTCCTATCAAGGAATAGTAAGGTTCCTCCTAGACAACATGTTCCTTTCTCGTCGCAGGGAACACCTTCCTCATCGCTCTTGGCGGCTATCGAACATTACCCGAGGATTTTGGGTTATTGCGTAGCACTGGCGTCTGGTATCCTGCTCTATAAGTATGATATAGTTATCGTGGGAAATGTTTCCGCTATGCCGGAGTTTCAGTAAGCACTGTTCCGAGTTGTGTCTTCGTAGCATCTCTGACCTCGCGAGACGCGATTTCGGCCACCGAATGAACGGAGCACTCATCATTCCGTCCTTATGGCTGAGCCTATGGGACGTAGCTAGTCCCCTTGGCGGTCTGGTTGGCGCCATAGCCGCAGGACAGCTACAAGATCGTGCCGGACGTCGCTTTTGCTTAGCCTTCGCGGCTATACTGTCAGCAGCTGCAGTTGCAGTCGCGTACATGTCGAACGTCCCGAATGATATAGACGCCCATCGAGCAATCTTTCTATTCGCAAAGCTTGTGCAGGGTCTCGCCGTTCATATGATCACATGCACAACCCAAACATATATGTCTGAGATCTTTCCTCCCGCGCTGCGAGGCCCCATGCTGGCCTTCTTTCCGATCTTCATCCTCCTAGGTCAATTAATGGGTAGTGTAGTGGTGTACAAGTCTCTAGATGTTGCCGGAAGCCGAGGATATAAGAATTGCTTCATCTCACAGTGGCCATTCTCCGCGTTGCCTCTGCTAGTTGCAGCTATTCTCCCCGAAAGCCCGACCTCCCTCATTAGAAAAGATCGGATAAATGCCGCTCACAAATCATTGCGACGACTTGATTCCGGCCGTATCGAGTCGCAAAACCGTTTCGAGCAACTACGGCCATTCATTGAAAAAGAGGATCGAGACGCGGCAAGCAAGGCGATTGGGTACCGTGACTGCTTCGGAGGCGTCGACCGGCGGCGTACCATGATCGTCATGTTTGCGAACCTCATCCCTTCGTTTTTCGGTCTACCCTTATTATCTAAGACCAGCTATTTTCTGCAGTTAGTCGGCATGGAGCACCACAGAAGCTTTCTTTTACTACAAGCTGGCATTGAATTGGGGCTGGCAGCTAACCTCATCAGCATGCAGACCTTGTCCAGATTTGGCCGTGTGCCTCTGATTATTGTCAGCTTAAGCGTCTCGGCCCTCGCCTGGATGTGTATGGGGATTGCCGACTGCTTCCCGGGAACTATTAGTGTTTGGTAAGTTGTCTGGAGATGATATGCAATAACCAAGGTCAATGGTTGTTCAGGTACACGGGAATCACACTAGTCACGGTAATCGCGGCCTGCGGTATTGGTGCATGGCCAGCATCCTACGCTGTCGGTGGAGAGGCATCGTCTCTGCGGCTTCGGGCCAAGTCCCAAGGTTTGGGCTGGTTCGTTTCCGGACTCACCAGCGTCGTTTTCAACCTCATTTTACCGTACATCTTCAACCCTGATCAGGGTGCCCTGCGCGGTAAGACCAGTTTTGTATGTGCGGGCTTCTCGGCCATTGCCCTCGTGGGAACATGGCTTTACATGCCAGAGATGAAAGATCGGACGCCCAGCGAGGTTGACGATATGTTTGAAGCAGTCGTACCTGCACGGCAGTTCAGAAAGTGGTCCCCACTGACTGCCTGATCCACTTTCTTCGGATCGTTCCCCACAAGCATGACTAGCCGACGCAGGCGACCAATCCACCGGCGCGTCAGTCGAGTACGAAATTTTGTTCAGCCCGAGCTGTTCCTGGGTGAGAGCCTTTTGGGAGCAGATCGACAGAAAGCCCAGCCGATGGATCTTCTTCTCGGCTCGAGCCAGAATGCACGGCCAAGGACAGCCTTAGAGAAAGACGTGCCAAGCCATGACATCCTGTAGTATAGCAGTTTTAGAGGTTAGGAGAATGATCTGAAGGTCATTTGCGAAGACATCTGGAACAAAGGAATATGAAACGGCCATACGAAACCATACTCAACAGCTGTCAGAACAAACCCACTTAGGCAAAACTCGTATGATCATGAGCTACAAAACGTCATTTGACATGTGTCATTTCGTAATTTTAACTAGATACAGGAAGTCATAAATGAAATCTACTAGCCTTATCGTTTCGTATATAGCGTTTCTGTGGGCCTCACAACGGCGGTACGGAATGCTCGGGCACTGTGAAACGAGGTTTTGGGCAGAGTCCATGGACGGAGAACTTGGGCTCGTCTTTGGCCGAACGAAGTCCGTAACCAGTGGGGCGATACTTCGCATCTTGGTGAAGCAGCGTTGTTCGGCACGCTGCTGGTAGGTCGAGCTCTGATGAGAAGGAGTCTCGGCAAGAGTGTGGGCTTTTGGTCGCGTCATAGAATGCGGGCAAACCGACGAACTGCTATGGAACCCAACCCATGTATAGGCATATATACCATGTGAAGAGGCCGATCATCCCTGGGCTTCAACAGCAGCCTGAATGGCCTTCTTCTTGCCCTTCCTGTAGACACGCTCATCATTCGGATCGAAGCCTCCGTTACCCCACAGCGCCCAGTCCTCGGTTTCTCTCATATAGTCCTCCGGCGTGAACGAGGTACCGTCGGCCTTCTCCTTCTCCAAGAGCTGGAAGAACCTATCGTAATCGATCCGGGAATGCCACTTGCCATTAACGTGGAACCGCTCGGACGCGATGAGCGCGCAACAACTGTGAGCATGCTCGGCGGCAATACCATAGTTCAGACCACGGCGCTCTAGCTCTGCGTTGAGAGAAGTGACAAACTGCTGAATCTCTTCGTAAAAAGGAACGTTCTGCATCGTCAGTCCAGCTCCGGCGCTGGTGCTGGTACCACAGTAAGTCACGCCTTTAATTTCAATAAAGCAAGGCAGAGCCTTCTCAACCAGGTTGGCATATCCAATCACTTCATCGTCGATGTTGAATCCCTTGACCAGCGTAAGACGGAACACCGTCCGCTGGTAATGACGCTTTTCCCGGAGGATGTCCAAGCAGCGCTGGAAACGTTCCCAGAAGTCGCGGTGCAGAGGCCGATCGATCTTACGTAGGCTCTCGCGGTTACTAGCATCGATGGAGACATAGAGTTGCGTCACCCGATGCAACGTTTCAAGCTGGTCGGGGTGTTGGGCGTTGCAGACAAGGAAGCTGGAGATGTGTTCGCTGTGCAGCATGTCCAGGAAACGATTAATATGGGGATAGAAGATCGGCTCGCCGACCAAGCTGAGAGCACAGTGACGGATCCGCATAGCCTCGGCGAATCGCTCTGCACGCACACCCGGAACACCACGCATCATCTTAATCTTCTTGTAATGACCTTCCTTGACTCCATTGAAAATGAGTTCCGGATCATCCACCTTCCAACGCCAAGTGGTGCCGACAGGATTGGTACCATGACGCCAGCAGAAGATGCATTTGTTGCTGCAGGAAAGCGAAGGGGTTGCCTCCATGCACAGGTGAGAGCGAATACCGTAGAACGAGAACTTATAACAGGAGCCACGACCACGCAGGGCGGACTTGGTCCAACGACAAATTTTGACGCCAGAGTGCGAACCAACAATGGTATATCCTTGCTTAGTCAGAGAGGCATAGGTGGGCGAGGTCTTGGGCACCATCTCTTTCTCAGTGGCGGGCGCAGGAGTCTTTCCACCCGTAGTGAAATCCACTGGGATAGGGGATCCGGATGCAGCGTCCGAACTGAATTTGATATCTTCCAGGTCGACCACCGATTGATTCTTGTTCTTCTTCCGACCGTTTGCCTTGTCGGAGTCCGAACCTTCGTCGTCCAAATCCTCCTCATCACTTTCGAGCGGATCACCACTACCGGGGACACCTTCACCTAGGCCGCCATTTTCGACAATATCACCGAGAATATCCTGTAGGCCACGGGACCACTCCTTCAAAGCCGAATCTGCGTCGCTCTTGACATCTCCAAAACCAAGAGGGTAGGCCCTCTTCCTGCCTGTGAGTTTCGCCATCCAGCGATCCAGTTCCTTGGCCTGTGAGCAGAAACCTTCCTCTTCGGTAGGCCATCCTTCCCTGTCGCCAAACCCGAAGACAGAATAGCCAGCGAGACCAGACAGAGGTGCAGTATCAATGCGGAAGTCATGATGAGTTTCATCGAGGTGACCGAGGAAGGTGTTCAAGATGGTATCGATGTTGTAAGTCGGGATCAGCATGCAATAGACATAGCGTGTTCCTGGCGAAGTCGAAGGGGGCTTCGGGGCGCTGATGAAGTAGTCGTCGAAATCGACATAGGACAGGTCGTGAATCTGGGGGGGAAGGAGGCCTCGTTCCCGATTTTCAGGATCGGCCCGATCGCGCGCAGCAGCACGCAAATCTTCCAGCAAAACTTGGGCATATCTCTCGGTGTTTGCGGTCAACGAAGCGAAGAAGATGATAGGTTGAATGAAGGAGACAGGGGGTTCCTGGTCAGAACCTCTACGCCGACCAGCAACCTTTAGTGGCTTCTTTCCTGTGACCCGCTTCGGACCGGCCTGCTTTTGCGACGCGTACTTCTCCACGACCGAGCGCTTTGAGTCGGCTTTTACATCCTTCTCCGTAGACTGGCTAATGGTCTTTTCACGTTTTTCCGGGGAATGGCTGCGAGGCGACGACGGGATGGAGGAAGCAGTAGCAATTTTGGACTTGGGCTGCAGCTTACGATAAGCGCGAACGAGAACGACAAGGGTAGCGAGAGCGAGGAGAAGAGGCAAGCGGTAGGAATGCCAGAAGGCCAAAAGACCTATGAAGATAAACTGTTAGTGCTTGTGAGGTTGCAGAGGACGGGCAAAACTACCTTCGTTTGCAGATGCCTCCATGTTGAGTGTATCAAGACGAACAAACGAGTTCCGTGTGACAGTGGTGGGATCTGAGACCCCTTGTGGCCGCGTGAAGGCTCAAAGAGGCGGGCCAGATAGAGTATGGGCGGGGAGCACTGGGTGAACTAGTAGTAGTGGGAGGGGTTGACGGAGTCCTGGGGACACATCGCAGTAACCGACTGAATCGGTACTTGGGCGAAGGCGAGTCGCAAGGACCGAATTCGATGAGACTAAGACAGCCCAGACCCTACGCTTGAGATAGAGGTCAATGCTTGATAGTTAGTAGTTCTGGGGTAGGATGGATGACTTCCTTGGGATTTTCGAGGAAATTTTTGGCTTCAGCGGCGAGGCCTCTGATTGGCTCCCGCACTGAAATGCCCGATGGGGAAGGCATCTCGGGGAGCCTCAGGAGCCTATCCAGATCCAGCATTTGTAATGAACTCATCGAGTTCCTCAACATACTCAAATTACTCCTAATTCTCACATATTTCAAGTTATTTGTAGGAGTTTGACGATAATCAGTGTGTGAACATACTCGTAATTAAATCTACTTTGTGACCTGATAGGCAGCCACATTTGATCGCTGCTATGTGGCTTCAGCCACACTACTGTGGCTGATTACTACGAGCCACCATACCTACGAGGGTGCTTTCATGTCCAGTTAATCCACTATATCTGCTCCTTCTACTGTAGGCTTTCACGTGCCCTAATTCTCATAGCTTTTGAAAGGGTTACTATTAGTTGAAAACAATCTGGTAAACATGACACGCTCTTTTACTTGAGCAGAATATTAGAGCTTCGCCCTTTAGTTATTAGTATATTATCGAAATCTTTACTAATACTAGTATGAAATCAGATATAAGTATAGATTTTCTTTCTCTTCTAGTAAATTAGATTAGCATTACCACGCAAATCTACTTGATTTGTTCGACACATGCCAGCCATTTCCGCGCTTCAAATAGTTAGGGAAGGATATCCCTCTAAGCTTAACGACTGGCACATAGGTGTTCCTTATTATCCAGGACCTGTAGTATTATAGAGTCAAATTCTCTATTCTTGACATCTCTGGGTAGTCACCTGTATGTATCCCGATAAGTAATGTCAGTGTTATGACAGAACTCGGCATTCATGGGTCTGAGAAGCAACCATGAAACCCCATCAGACGGCCCGGAAGTGCTACCGTCAATGAGCCATACTGGCAAAGCTTAACTGGATGTCTTTAACATCGAATTCCCATAGACATCTTGTTCCCGACGGGCTTCCTAGCATGCGTGAATTGATATTCTTATCTGCGTTGATGGCCCTATGGATGTGTTTCGCCAAATGCGATCCCGATTTCACTGTAGCTCATGCGCCGACGTTTCGATTTTTAGCTGAGAACTCTTTGCTGTTACTTTTTTATCTGCACAATTGAAAGTCTCTTTCTAGTATGGCGTACTATGGCGACGGCGAGTGGTTGGCGGAGGCGAAGGCGGAGGAGGCGTTGGAGGTTGTGGAGGAGGCTAATAGTGGCATTAATACTTCCTCTCTTAGCATCCCATAAAAGTGCTTTCAATATACAAATAAATAAGGCAATTGAGCACCAGATGAAGATGTAGCCGGTGACGGAGGTGGAGGCGGCTGACAGTTCTATCAACACCTTCGACTTTAGCACCCTATAAACAGTGTTTCAAACATACAGGTGGAGGCGTTGGAGAGCGTGATGGTAGTGTAATAGGTGAGAGCTGTTCATTGAATTAGTACTTGTCTTCCTTGTACCCATTCCCCAATTGCGTCAACATACAGTTCTCGGGGGTAACGGGGGCGGTGGTGGAAGTTCCTAGTATGTTTGTATTAACATTTTACTAGTATACTCGTAAAAGGCGGTCCAATGTACAGTGGCTTCGTGCTCGAAGAATATCTTCTAAAGTCTATATTAGCATCCCTTCACATACAGACAGCCGATATTGGGGCATAATACCGAGTAGTCGAAGTACTGCTCGGAGGTGCTATGTATAGGGCCCAATATTAGGATGGAGGTAAACCTAGAAATCCTTCTCGAATTCTCTCAGTCTAGATGGCTGTAGCTCTTCCACTGGTCCAAACTTAATGATAGTTCAACAGTACTTTCTTCAATGGCGCGAAAGACTGATAACTGCAACATGTAGCATATATATAAAGTAGAGACGATGAAAAGCGTATGATGGTAAGTAGTTAGACTCACTCTTTCATCGTATCCAAGAATGTATAAGAATAATCTGGTTTCTTAAACTCGAACAACTAGATGCCATGAGATGAAGCCATGAACGTCAAGTTACGGGCTTTTTATGACCACCAGGGGGTAGTTCCTCCCTATATTCTGTTTCAGTAGACAGGTCCATGTCTATGCTGATATTCACAACTTGTAGTGATACTTTATACATATGAATTCATCTATCATCTCATTTTTTCAATGACATATGAATTGTCAACCCTACTGTGAATCCCATGGACCCATGATATAATACCTAGGTAGCAAAGGGTAATTTATGGGCTGTTACTTAGTGCATGGTTGGCAATCTGCCTCAGCTCTGGCCGGGTAATGCCGGTTATAACACTGCTCTTTCCTCCATTATCTGTTCGGCAGAGGCCGATAATATTGACCAACGCATATGCACTTTAGGGGTTCCAGTTGATAGGCGTATGTATGGCCTTTCCAGGCCACACACATCCTGCCTACACTTAGCAACGGCAACATTTGACAATAGCCATACCGTGTTCGAGGTAGTAGAATCATTGTTCTGTGCAAGGAGAAGCTTCTGCAATTCACAGAAATGATCACTTCAGGCTCGCTCAGGGTAACGATAGAAGTACCTATCAGTTAAGATCGAAAAGCCATCTGAGGAATGAAAGAGTGACTGCTGGCAGGCCCTTCATCTGATGCTTCTTTTTTGGGGGACGATATAGCTTCCGGCTGGTGACGTGAATGGGCAGGCGCCAAGAAAAATGATTCAATACTGACAAGTAGTAGCAGGCATACCCCATAAGCCCCTCTGAGGTGATGACTCACTTACTATTTTTCAGGTGCGAGCTTTTCAGCATTGCAAAATCAGAATGGCACCAGCAGTGGAATCGTAAGTGGGCAGTCACTAATAATTGATTCACTACCTGAGATTAACATACGACCTAGCTTCAAATCACAGAAGGACAACACTAAACCCCAAAATGACAGTCGAAAGACAAACAAAGAGAAATCAGTGCATGAGCTTCACAAAGACGAGCCTGTATGTAAAACCTATAAGTGATTAACCCATCTACTAGTAAATGTTAAGCCTGATCTAGCATGGATTAGGCTCAGGCTCCCACCAGCAAACTTCTGGTTCCCCTGTGACCGTCAGAGCAGATGACTTCGATTACTTGCACGGTAGGATCTCTGTATTGAAGAGATTATAGTATATACTGAATACAGGGGTAGCCGCTCCTGGAGCTTTCAAGTGCGCTTTGTGCCGCCAGTGGCACACAAAGAGATGTCCGTGGTTGATCAATTATTAGAGCAGCTCTAGTACTCTGTTCACTTATATGAAGTCGGTTCTTTAGGGGGCTCTAATGTGGTGTCAAGGCTAGTAATCTTAATTATTCTTTGTTGTTATTTGCCATGGCTATTTCCCGGTTTTCTCTACGTAAAAGAATGTTTGAGCAGTGATACTAGTCTCAGAGGCCCGCATTATGCGCACCAAGTCAGGACAACTCATCCTCAACCGGAAGCGCACCCTCAGCCTGCATCTGGAGGGCAACCTGATCAACATCTCTCCACACCCGCAGCAAGTTCCCACCAGCAACTTTGCCTGCATCCTCGTCACTAACTCCGCGTTTCAGCAGCTCAGCGATCAGGTCCGGATATTTGGACACGTCCTCGAGTCCACGCGGAACAGTAGGGATACCGTCAAAATCGCTTCCCAATCCAACATGATCGAATCCAATCAGGTTTCCGATGTACATTATGTGGTCCACTACGTGCTCCAGAGTTGCATTCTCTGGATCAAGCTTAGGCAGGTCGTTCGGATCGTCGGAAGCAGTACACGAAATAAAGTCTGGGGAGAAGTTGACCATCACAATCGAGTTACGCTTTTTGACCAGCTCCAGAACATCGTCAGGGACGTTGCGGGGATGGGGGCAGACTGCGTACGCGGAGCTGTGACTGAACATCACAGGAGCACGGCTACCAGCCCAATCATCTTTTCCAGCGCCCAAGACGTCCCGCATAGTGTCCACACTAACGTGAGACAAGTCGACTATCATGCCAAGCCTGTTCATCTCGAAGACAAGATCCTTACCGGCCTCGCTCACTCCGTGCCAGACCGGGTCTGCCTTCTTGATGCCGCCGGGTATTTCGACAAGCGCTGCATCAGCATAGCGATTGTGGCAGTTATGTGTGAGAGTTGCATATGCCACGCCGCGATCATAGAAGTTTCGCAAGTGAGCTAGGGAGTTTCCGATCGAATGAAGGCCCTCCATCCCAAGCGGGGAAATGATCTTTCCTTCCTTGGAGGCTTGAAGGGCAGTCGTCCCATTGGGTGGCTCAGAAAAGACATCGGGGTAGGCTTGTTGCAGGCGCAGCATGACATCTACCTGTTCGATAGTCTGGCGGACACCTGGATAGACAATATTAGTAAGAAATGCACGGAAGGTATCGTGATTTGCTTACTCGTTGCATAGGTTGCGTCGGAGAAATCGCTCCAATTCTTCGGACACTCCACAAAGACACTCCAGAAGGTGCCGCCTACTTTGCCCTCAGCGAGGCGTGGCAGATCGACATGCCCCAGCAAATTGCCCTCAGTGAAGGGGATTTTGAAATCATCGCTGTAGATGTGATTTCCGAAAAATTCGCGGATGAAGATGGGTAGATCATCGTGGCCGTCTGTGGTCGTTAGATAAGGCAATTGTAGGCATTCAAACCAAGCTACTCACCTATCAACGGGGTCTCCGACAGAATTTTGTCCACTCGCGACTGTGCGGGTTGTGGGTGAGTGCATCGGCGCGCATTAGTCAATGTGACCAAAAAGCACGCAAGAACAAAGGTCAGAAGCACGCGTCCCATGTTGCGCGCCAGAGAAGAGTGAGGTTTTGGCTTCGCAGCTGAGGTTGCGTAGCCGCGCGACGACTCCAGATCTAGTTTGAAATCCATTGTGCGAAAGGAAGGAGGGGTTGTGTAACCCGCGCTTTCCCGGCGTAGCGAGCGATGTGTGTTGATATTGAAATGGCGGATGGGGATGGGGATGGATGAAGCTCGTTGTTATCGCCGGGGAGATAACCGGGCCTCCGATGAGTCAACTTGCGTATAGCAGCTGCAGGATTCAGGCTTAGCTCACGGGGAATTGATAAGCGACCGATCACATCATGTTTTGCTAGACGAGCAGCAGCAATCAACAATGTTTCTGCTCAACAAATTGAAGTCATTATGTTTGTGAGCATCGCAGCTGACCATTCGTCGCATCCATATGTCTCCATAGGAAGGTTTTGGATAGGCTCATTGGGACTTCTCGTTGCGGGTACTGCAGGGTATGTCGGTCACGTGACACGTAGTAATGGCCGATTCATGCTACATCTCTCATGAAGTGACCGAGGTATTAAGGAGGTATCAAGTCAAGGCTATCTAAGAGGATCTCAAGGGAGCTATAGCTATCTAGTGTGGATCTACATTGATGACAGACCTGGGAGGTGCCGTTTCCATCTACTTGGCACAAACGCCGGCTTGGCTTCAACATGAGAGATGAGCATTCCAGTATAAAGCTAAAGAGTGCTGTCTCAAAGTTGCTGCGATTTTGCCAAACCTTGAACATATTGTGCAGCAGACACTTTAGCGTGCTCAACCACTGTCAGCGCCGAATAATTCCTCTCGGATAACCTCCAAATCCAGAAGCAAATCATCGGCAGAGTCGTACTCCTTGTTCCAGCATTTGCGAGTGATATCGCTGCAAGCATGCTTATCTTCTGGATATTGCTGCGTTGCAAACCTATCCTCGACTTTTTCAAACCACGCATCTTCTCCATCAACGATGTCAGGAAACATATCATGCCCCATCATAATGAAATAGATAGTGCATCCCAGGGCAAAGAGATCTGTCTGCACATCTGCGTCAAAGGGGTCACGACGAGGACAATAGAACCTGCAAGGCTCCCCGCTCCACCCATCAAGAAGCACGGTGCCATCCTCTGACAATTGCTTCCCTTGGAAGTCAGCTAGCTTCGTGCGTAACCCTTCATCCAGAAGGATATTCCTGGGCTGTATATCACAATGGATAACTCCCCTACTGTGAACCCACGCAACTGCTTCGGCTATTTCTTGGCACCAATTTAGCCTCTGCTCGAGGGATGGCGGTGGATGTGGATGTGCTGGTCTGAGATAGTAGTCATCTAGGTTCCCGTTGATCGCCCGCTCTAGATATAGCCAGCCGCTGTCTGTGCATCCTTTCAATTTGATGATATGCTCGTGATGTCCGACAGTCTCGAGGAGGCGTCTCTCTGTTTCGAGCCGACTGGTGTCTGTGTCTTCAGGCGCGAGAGGGTATTTCAATACTGTAGTTTCGTCGACTTCTCCTATCCATGCGCTTCCACCTGACGCAATCACACGTTTGACTCCAGGGGGACAGTACTCTTGGTACTCCTTTACTTCAGGCTTGTCCATACTTCAGGGATCGCTACTTTGATAATTGCCGGCGAACTGTCAGATATTAGAACACGATAACAAGAGGCAATTGACTCAGATAATATATTGGACCTAGAGGGAAAGCAGAGAGTGGAGTGTCTCGACAAACAATATCAACACGTGCCTTCCCATTTTTATACACGTGGGTGCACGTGCTGATCTAGTTTGCATCGATTCACCTAATAGGGCAATTACTACAATATAATAGTTCAAGACAGATCACGCTTTGTATTCGCAAATACAATATGTAAAAGACTAAGCTAACAACAAACCCAAAACAAGATTAGCAGCAGAAGGTCTCTTGTAAAGTTATGGGCTGTTGCTAGACAGTATTTATGGGTCTCACATGTGTAGAGTAGATGTCCAATTTTTATGACTCGGGACCATTGGTGATGTTACAACATACACCTGCCACAAAGATGGCTTATCATGATGGTCCCAGACTCTCATTGACACCCACAGTTACAGAGTATTATTAATCTTTCTTGTTCCTCCGAGCAAACCAATTTGTAAAGAACCTGAGTCCTCTGTTTCTATCAGGCGAGATCTTCTCATCACCATTGTCTAGATATTATTAGTCTTCGGATCTTCTACACGACTCAAGATCATTTTGCTCATACCAGGAGGATGAACACAAAGTGGACAGGCAATTTCTCGATCTTCAACTATCTCATGCGACGAAGTGGTCAAGCCATCCTTGCCATCATGTTCATTGCAACCAGGCCCATCTGGATTACTGCAGGATATCTTAGTTACTTCATGGCATTTATGCTTTGGGGAAGCAGTGCAACTCTCGAATTCTTTATAAATATGGTGAATTTCACACCCACATCCCCAGAATTCTAGACCACCAATATAGCCCTCGCTCGTATTATCCATTGGTGTAGGATTTCTTTTTTGAACTGGTGAGAGCCAATGCTATTGATAGTGTCGTGTTGTGGAGAAGATGTGTCCAAAACAAGTTAGAACGTGGCACAGAGGCTTTATATACATCGAGTCGTCCTGTCTAGGAAGGTTCTGTTAGATTCCTACACTATCTGTTATTGATATGTGAACCGTCAATTTCCGTCGCTGTCTACTGAAGACATCGAGGTGTATGATCCCTCATTTATTATCTCTAGACGCTGACGGGAGCTGCCAGTCTCTAAAAGGTGGTAGAAATTGAAGAAACAGTTATACAGACGAACAGCGAAGCATTCGGTAATCAATTGTTCCTGAGTCTTTTGCGGCTATTTTTACATTATACCCTTTCATATCTCTTCAAATGGTAGTGTGGCATATTGTCGAGTATGTCCGTCGTCACACCCATCTTTCTTATCTGAATCAGGTGGATTTACGAGACTGACTTTAGAGCATACGAAGATGTAATTCAAGGTTAGTAATAGTGGCAGATGGCGGCGCCGCTAGAATGTACGCAACTATCAGGGAAAACATATCCAGCGAATCCAAGGCACAGTATTCACAGCCGGTGAAGCTCTCTTCGTCATCCCAGATCGACCCTTCCTTCAACAAACATCTCGCTGACCAAAACCCATGATCCAACTATCCGTGCCAAAAGCTTATGCAGCTTATCCAACCCCTATTTAGCCAGTGATCATGCGACTTGATCGAGATAAACCAGTTTCCAACTTCAGACTGAGCTTACAAGTCCTTTTCTAGCTTCAGGCTACACAGCGTGAGCTATCTATAACCTGTCCCCGCCACCGACATCACGGTACCATTCCAGCCAGCATCTAGGGGTGGCGTCTTATCGCCAGACTTAAGACTATCATTTGTCCAATTGGTCTTTCAGTCGATGCTTTTCCGGTTCAACAACTAGTGGGGATCGTCGCATTTTTCTCGCCAGGCTGCAGTGATGACTTCATAGCCAACAAAGGCTGGGCAACGCTGCATAATAAGCACTCAAAAGATGATGTACCTTGATATAAGCAGAAACTCCTGCTAAGCTCCCCAACAAGATCGTCTTCCAGCGATCATCTACAGAACACGTTTGTGCCTCGCTATAAGTTGATCACCGTTTCATCCTCAATCATCTGGTTTCCACCGGACGATCAACACCCCGAACGAGCAAGTCACGCAAGGGATGCCGTTACTCCAGATGGAGGATTTGCAGCAGCATTCTTCGCATCCCATACCGCATCACCAACAAGGGCAAGATAGGCCTGGGAAAATCCGGTCACTTTGGTACATTGCGCAAGCAACCCGTTTTGTTGCCTCCCTTGCGATTGGCGATGGATAGATCATGTATTTCTCCGGGTCGAGATTTGATCGGAGTTGGGGAAAGCTTTTGCCCAGCGTGGCACTCTTCCCTGTTGGGGATCGGCCGCATTCCAGTGCCCCGCTGGTAGTGCTCTCTTTGGCCTTGGGAGAATTGATAGCTAGAATGCCGTGCGTGTATCGTGCTCCCCCATTGCATTGGATGTGTTATATAAATTTTCCGGTTGGGACTTGGAAAGTGCTTGGTTTTTCTTGTGTTTGGTGATTATCCCCTGTCTCATCACCAGGTCCGATGGAGTCAACTCAGTCAACCCAAGAAACAACAAACACCAAATCATCCGAGGACTATATTTCTACGGATAATGGTGACCATGAGAGCAATGATTCGGTCACGAATCCCAAGTTGAGCATTGACATCGATGCCGCCCCAGATGGCGGATATGGATGGGTGATCGTTGCGTGCGTATTCTGGCTACAAGTTCACACCTGGGGTATCAATGGGGTGAGTTCACTGCATTAGAGTTACTAGCGTAGCAACAACAGATTTTCTAACTGCACTAGAGCTATGGCGTCTTTTTGTCCTACTACATGGACAACAACATCTACCCCGGCACGAGTTCACTCGCCTACGCCTTTATCGGCGGTCTCGCCATCGGCTGCGCCTACCTGATGGCACCCGTCACCGTGTTCCTCATCCGCCGATACGGCACCCACGCGACAATTACCACGGGAATCATCATCCAAACAGCTGGACTGATCCTCGCCTCCTTCACCACCCGCGTATGGCAACTCTTTCTTACCGAGGGCGTCTGTTTCGGTGTCGGCATGGGCATCATCTACATGACCTATCTTGGCGTTCCGCCCCAATGGTTCGACAAGAAGAGCAGCGTTGCAAACGCCATTCCCGCCGCTGGTGCCGGAACCGGTGGTCTCATTTACTCCCTTGGGATCGAAGCGATGATCGAGAATCTCGGTCTCCCCTGGACATTCCGAACATTAGCCATCATTTCTCTTGTCGTGAACCTCGTGTGCGCGGCCTTCCTCCGCGACCGCAACAAAGCCACCGCCAGCCGACATGTCGCGTTCAACTTTCCTTTGCTAAAGAAATTCGAAGTTCTACTCCTTATCGGCTGGGCCATCTTCAGCACCTTTGGCTTCGTCTCCATCAATTTCAGTCTACCCAACTTTGCCATCTCGATCGGGTTGACCGCGCGCCAGAGCAGTGTGGTCGGCGCGCTGCACAATCTGGGACAGGGGATTGGCCGGCCTCTCATCGGCTTATTCAGTGATAGACTGGGTCGGTTGAACGTGGCGACAGCCCTCTCCCTGGTATGTGCGGTGTTCTGCTTCGCTATCTGGATTCCCGCTCGGAGTATGGCCGTGTGCTGTCTGTTCGCAGTAATGGGAGGCATGGTCTCGGGAACATTCTTTGCTACAGTGGCCCCCGTGTTTGTGGAGGTGATCGGGTTGCAGGATCTACCTGGGGCTCTCAGTATCCTGTGGTTGGTACTGGTAGGACCCGGGGCAGCAGGAGAGGCAATTGCGCAGGCGCTACGACGACCGGAACAGGGAATGGAGGCGTATCGGCAGGTGCAGATCTTCGCGGGAATGGTGTTTGTAGCAGCGGCGTTGTGTCTATGGGTGGTGCGCGGATGGAAGGTGCAGCAGCAGCGCCAGAGAGCTGTCACTCATACAGCGGGGATGTGTAAGGAGGTGATGGAGGTGGAGTTGAGAGCAGAGGAGGAGAAGTCGGGGTGGAATGTGTTGGAGTTGGCCAGGGAGATGGTGCGGTACTCTCGTGTATAGAGTACTTCTACGTGCGAATCGCGTCAATCCCTACTAGATACCAGGCTATTACTAGTAGCAGCAAAATTGTATATTAGTACTTGTCTAATTCTACTCAAACAATCTATGGTATAAACTAACAGAGTCAATTTTTCCATCCCCAACCACTACATCCTTAAGGGACTGCTGTTGCTGTCGCCGTCGTCATCATCTCACCATCCGTCCCCGAACCAGTCACCAGCACATTAGCAACCAGTCTCCCCGGCTGCGGATGATTAAAAATATCACGAAACGTAACATCATACCCATAATCCTTCGCCAGTCGCGTGATCCGCATAGCCTTGATTGAATCCCCTCCCAAATGAAAGAAGTTACTCTTGGGTAGAACAAGAGCAAGACCGACGCCCAAACTCTCCGCATACCACTTACACACCAAATCCACCTTTTCACTGTATTCCCCCTTCACGAGTGCATCGTCCTCACCAACTGCCCCCTCATTCAACGGCACCGCATATACCAAACGATCCTGCTGCGCCAGCCCAGCCGCAGCCTGTCGAAGTCGCGTGCGGTCGATCTTGCCCGTACGCGTTTTCGGCACGTACAGGAGTGGGAACATGAATGTTGGGATGAAGAGCCATGAGAGGGATTGTTTGAGTTTCTGGACCATAGTGCGCATCAGGGCTTGGAAATCCGCCGCGGGGAGTCCAAAAAGCGCCCCAGCAGCAGCATCAGCAGCAGAGCGTTTAGTGAGCCGGTCATCGTAGACAAACCCCACGAGCTGCTTCGTTTGATCCGGCAAGACGATCACATCGGCTACGACCATACCTCGCGGTAGGTCTACAGCGTGCTTTAGACGAGCTTCGAGATCGTCTAGCTCCACTCGCTGGCCGCGGAGTTTGACCTGTCGGTCCTTGCGGCCGAGGAGATAGATTGAGCCGTCGGGGAGATACCGGGCTAGATCACCGGTTTTGTAGCATCGGGATGTGGTTGTTGTTGGTGCTGGTGCCCAGGCAGGGGCGTCGATGAAGACGGCGGCGGTTTTCTCTGGTTTCTCGAGGTAGCCTTGAGATAGACGTCCGCCTTGGACGACTAGTTCGCCGACGGCCCCGATGGGGAGTAGTTTGTTGTGATCTGCTGGATCGACGATCCAGGCGCGTGGGCCGAACGAGCGACCGATGTTCCGGGGGTCAGATAGGGAAGTGAGGTCCGCGTGCAGCGTGTCGAACATGATGCCTTCGGTGGTGCCGTAGCTGACGTTGAGGTGGTCGACTCGGGGTGCCCATAGGGCTACTTGCTCTGCAGTTAGGACGTCCCCGCCTACTGTGAGGGTCTTTAGCGTGAGCATCTCGTCCGGGTGGACCTGGGCTAGCACGGCGGCAGTGAGGAACGCGGTGTTGATGCAGAGTGCTGTGCCTGTCTCGGCGAGTCGGTGTAGTCGGTCATCGTTACCGGGGATGCAGACACATCCGCCACGGGATAAGGTGCATAGGGTTTCTACGCAGCTGAGGTCGAAGCTGAATGCGGCGAATTGGAGGAATCGGGTGCTGGAGTGTAGTTGCAGTGCTTGAGCCATTTGTTGTACGCATGTTACAATGTCTTGATGTGGTTGTACCACGCCCTTGGGGGCTCCGGTGCTGCCTGATGTGTACATGAGGAAGGCTGGTTGAGTGGGGGATATATGTCCGGGTGGCGCTGGGAGTGTCTTCTTCGGTAGCTGCTGGATTAGGTGTCCGGTTATTTCCAGCATTTGGGGCGCCATGGCTACCCAGTGGGGTTCGAGCTTGAAGGACGAGGTGGTGGTGAGGATGACGGATGTATTGGCCTCACGGAGCATGGATGAAGCTTGGGTGGGAAGTAATGCGCTGTCCAGAGGCATGCAGGCTGCCCCTGTGCGCAGTACGGCTAGCATGATGACCACGGACCAGATGGTCTTGTCGAGAATGAGCCCGACGTAAGTGTGGGGACGCACGCCGGCGGAGAGGAGGTGCGCTGACAATGCTGTAGAGAGGTGCTGGAGCTCGCGGTAGGTAATCTGCTCGTTGATGGTGCAGCAGGCAATGGCATCGGGGTACTTGCTACTGGCACGGTCGATAAGGTCCGGGAGGCATTCATGGCTCACCTCTAGCGACTGGGTGTTCCAAGATAGAATCTGGTCGTGACTCGCTCGGGAGAGGAGATTCAGGTCTTTGACCTTGCCTTGCCAATTGTGACGGACAGAAGACAGAATTTCCTGGATAGCGTCGGCGATATGACCGGCCATTGTTTCTGATATGTATGCGGTGCGGAAGCGCACGAAGAGACGCAGCCCTGCGGGGTCCCGGTTTGCGCCAAAGATGAGATCACACTAGAGTGAGAGGAATCATGAGCATTATGGCCTTCAATTTGGTACGCGGGCTGGATTACTTACTCTCTCGGCGTCTGTTGGCGAAGAACCATTCTTGGGAGCCAGGTCACACCTATTCCCTCCGTCAAGCAGTAGTACCCCAGTGTTATGAACGCGAGGGTCATGACTGTCAGTTTCCAACAGACGCCCCGATCCAACTAGAGCGGTCAGGTCGTCTTCACGGTCAATTGTAGTAGCGTAGACGGAGGAGCAATGCTGCAAGAGATATGCCGAGTCCCGAGAATCGGCGCATTCTTCGTAGCCCATCACCACGCTGTCATCGTGGACAAATACGGAGAGGATGATGGCCCAGATCACGCGGAGCCTAGGTCCCAGATCAGGGCCCCATTGAGAGATACTGTCGTCCCCTTGGAGTATATCGATGGTATGCACCGTATCGCCATTTCGACCTTTCTGGGGAGAGGGAGAGGGAGAGAGGCTGGGAAACTGGCATGGCGCGATTTTAACCTTACCAACCATTTCGATTGATTGGTCAGGATGCCAATTCTGATAGATAATAGATTGAATGCTCGAAAAAGAAGGAGACCAGAGAAAATAAGTAGGCTAACAAGAGGAAAAAGGTACCGAGAAGGATTCTTGTGTTGTGGCGCCTCCATGGGGGAATTAAGCAACATCTGCTGTTATGCCCCCTTGTCTGATCTCCTTGCATGCAGTTAGGGGGAGGTGGAACGCGTAGGTACAGGCTGGGGCGCATCGCCGCGATACTTAATAGCGAGTATATGTCTTTAGCTATTCTTTGGCTTCTCGAAGCAATTGATAGAGAGAGTGTGTTTCTGAGCGTGAGAGCGTGGGTGGGTGTGTAAATGATGCGATGGTAGATTGTTGGTTCGTCTGCAGTAACTGGAACACTCACTCTTAAAGTGCATTAGTGGTGGTTTCTGACATCAACGTGCTTCTTTAATAGCAATGTATCTTGGAAGTAGATTCGAGACACAATGTTCCATCATGCACTCAATTCATTGCGATCTCCCCGGGATAGCACCCGATGAAACAGCCAGTCCAGAGAGTTTGATTTGATTGCGATCTCAAAAGATCAGCGCCGAAGAGACGCTCCCAAGGAAACAAGACATTAGCAGTCTAATGAGGATTTCTATTAGTAATATATAAATTGGAGGATTTTAGCTAGTAGACAGGTACATTCTGAAGATCCACAGATCTTATAAAAGATTCAAAGTAATCTACAACAGTTCCTACCTCTAAGACGCCGTTTCCAACCATATTAGACTTTGTTGGAACACATTACTATCAATCTTCCTAAGAGGGGAAATATATCCTACAGCCGGACCGATACACATCTACAGAAGATTTAGCTTGTGGATCATTGTTGCAGATGTAGCTAAAATAAACAAGCCGCTAGATTCTTCTAAGCACAGTCAGGAAAGACAACCAATGTACCAGATATATAGAATATACAACACTAGCATGGCATCAAAAACCCCTTGGAACTACAAGCAACTTCTTCATGGTATCTAGTACTTAAGTTGATTAGTAGTGAATCTGTGCTCTTTAGGGTGTGTAGTTGTAGTTAATCTCCCCACCCGCTTCTGCCCCACAACAACCACATCAACAACAACAACAACTTCACTCCCTCAGCATCTTTCAACATCTTTCAACCCTCATAATAATTCTGCAACCATGAATCCCACTACCACCATCACCAACAAAAAAGAAATAGAAATATCCCCTCACCTCCTATCCAAATACCCCTTCCTCATCCACCCTCTCTCCTCCCTCCCCACCACCCACTACCCCACCTACACCGACTTTGGCGTGGGCGCCTACATCTTCACCACCACCCACCAACAAAACTCAAAACCACACCTTCTCCTCCTCCACCGCTCCCCCACAGACAGCTACCCCCTGCACTGGGAATCCCCCGGCGGCGGAGCAGACCTTTCCCTCGACGACACCCTCCTCCAGGCACTCTGTCGGGAGGTACTCGAGGAGACAGGGCTGCAAGTGACCAAAGTAGTGGATTTAGTGGCTATTGATGAGTGGAAAAAACCGCTCCCCGGGGTGGTTCAGGGAGAGAAGAAGGTGATTAAGTGGGGGTTTCTAGTTGAAACTGCTTCGGGGGAGGAAGTGATGTTGAATCCGGAGGAGCATTGTGCGTTTAAGTGGGTGGATGAGGGGGATGTTAGGGATGCTGTTAATGAGGATTCTGGGATGAGGTTTATTGGGGATCAGGGGAGGAATTTAGTTAGGGCTTTTGAAGTTTATCGGAGGTGGCATACTTCATCGGAGGAGGAGAAAGGGGAAGGGAAAGATACGTGTTGAATTTCAGACTATACTATCACTACTTATAGTCCAATCACATCAAGTAAGAAGGGTGGCGGGTCAAACCCCCCTCCTCTTCATGGCCAACTTAAACCCCCTTACAAATTCCGGTACATGTACCGGGTTCAACATGGTTGCATGAATACCCGGACAATTATAGAACCCGACCTCAGTGCGTGCGAAATCCCTCCACGCCCCAAGCTTATTCTCTTCCCAGTCCTGTCTATCCAACGCTGCATAGCTCGGTGGATCCGCTACAAACACATCCAATGTCTCGACCGTTCCCTTCGGTTCATACGTTTCGCCATGGACTCGGAAATTCTCTCCGATGTCTGTGATTCGTTCCAATCTCTCTGCGTTGAGAGCTAGTGCGCGCACTCTCTCCTTATCAGAGATGTTTAGGACATGCACGAGGGCATCGTAGCGAGATAACCCCTCCCCTCCATTCTCCTTCTCAAGGCTATGCAGATATTTACCGGCATCGCCCATCACATCTAGATCAATCAGCTCCAGGAAGAAGGCTATATGAAGCAATACATCAATCCAGTTCTGCCCGCGCACATACTGCCGGATATGCGGCGGGTAGTCGATACTCGCCAGGAAGCGGACTTCCTGGCCCTGAGACTCAAGCACTTTGCCCACTTCGAAGGCGAGGGTCGAGCCGAGCGAGTAGCCCGCTATGGCGTAGGGGCCCTCGGCCTGGGTTTGGCGAATGTAGTGGGCGTAGGTATCTGCTGTTTCTTGGATGGAGTGGAAGAAGCGCTCGTTGGTGTTGTAGCCGCGCGTGCGGAGGGCGTAGACGGGCCGCGTGGGGAATTGGGCTGCTAAAGCGATGAAGACGAGGATGTCGCCGCTACCGGGGTGGATGCAGAAGAGGGGGATTTTGGTGCCGTGGGGTTGTAGGGGCACGATGGGGTTGTAGGTGGGTGGTTGAGAGAGGAGTTTGTCGATGGAGGCGGAGATGGCGGTTGTTGTTGGACTGGATAGAAATTGTCAATACGTGGGATATTTGGTAGGGTTGAATACGGGCGAGGGAGTGGCTTACTCGGTCATTAGGACAGACATGGGAATTTCTACGGGTGCATCGACGGCTTCTTGAATCATGGCTTTGAGGAGGATCAGGTTGAACGAGGTGATTCCGAGATCGAAGATTGACATGTCCACGTTGATGTCTTCGATGGGGATCTTGAGGAGTCCTGCTATGGTGCTTTGCACTCGCTTCTCGGTCTCGGTTTGAGCAGGTCGCTGCGTGGACTCGCGGTACTTTTGGACGATCTTGAGATCTTCCTCCTCGAAGGAAGCATACTCGCCCTTTTCGAATGCGGTCCGCACCTTGGTCCGTGAGATCTTGCCCAGCGAGGACTTGTCTAGCATCTCCGCCGGCAACGGAATTAAATGGGCAGGCTTCCGCCCCGTCAGGAGTGCAACGGTCTTTGCTATGGCGGTGGCAGTCTCAAAGCGCGTTGCGGCGTCGTCGGCAGCATAAGCAGGAGAGTAGACAATGACGATATCCTCGCTCGCGGAGCCTGGGGCACGACAAGGGAAGGCCACGGTATACGAGGGCACAACTCCAGGGATGTTCTCTTCTTCGATAGCCACTTCGATCTCTGTGGCACTCCATTTGACTCCGTTCACGATAATAGTGTCTCTAGTCCGCCCTGCTAGGTTCAGATATCCAGAGTCATCCAGCCAGGCGAGATCGCCTGTGATGAACCACCCGTCTTTTGTGAACGCGGCAGCCGTGGCTTCTGGATTGTTAAAGTATCCCGTAAACACGGCAGGGCCAGACAGCTGAAGCTCGCCAACTTCACCAGGCGCAGCGCGCTCATCTCTAGCTGTAGGACGCATCACGCGCATCCTGATGCCGGGAGTACATGGTCCGAGACAGGCAAATTCGAGGCCTTTGGATAGATCGTAGGACGGTGATGCCCGTGCATGCACACATCCGGCACATGTCTCTGTCATCCCAAATCCAGGACTAATCACCTCGCGCTGGATGTTAAATCGACGCAGTTCACGAGTGAGCCCGTCGATAGTGGCGACGACGTTGGCCTCGCCACCCGAGTTGATGCTCTTGAGACGAGACAGATCCGCTTGGAGACTTGGGTTGGCGACGAGGGCGTCCCGCACCTGCGTCAAGAAGAAATTGGGCGCGAATGTGTAGGCGATTTTGTGAGAATCAAGCAGCTGGATGAAGCGTATTGGATCGCGAAGCAGCTCCGAGGCTGGGATAAGCACTTGGTCGGCGCCCAGACTCACTGTGGATTTGTTAGCTGCTGTTATGTTATAAAGGTAGAAGTGAAGAACATACTTGCATGCAAATGAATCTCACAAAGACTAGCAACATGGTCCAATCCAACCCAGGTGAGAAATACATCCCCAGGTCCGGTTCCATGGTGATCTTTCTTGCCCTGCAGTGCCGTGAGAAGCTGCCCATGACGGAGTGGAACCGCCTTGGCGCTTCCAGTACTTCCAGACGTCAACATGAGGACTGCTGGGTCTTGTGCTTGCTTCTCTGTTCCACAGAGTGCCTTAATGCCAGATAAGCCATTCGAGCTAGCAGTTTTGCCGAGTACCTCGACCGGAAGCACACGAAGCTCATCAGTGTCCAGAAAGTCCGGGACAAGCCGCTCCGTAGTAAGGACGATGGGTTCCTGCAGCAGCGTTTTAAGATGACGCAGATGCTTCAGGCGCTGCGCGGGATCATGCACAAAGGGGGTTGAAATAGCGGGAAGAAAGCCTGCAAGAGTGGCAGCCCAGAACCATAGGATTGTGTCGTGATGGTTCTCAAAGTGCAGCAGGACAATAGAGGATGCGGAGATGCCATCGATTTGGCCTAACAGCCGAGCTTTCTCCGTAGCTTTGCTCTGAAGGTCGGAGTACGAAACACGCGAGGCTTCTGCTCCAGGCGTGTAGAAGATGAGTCCAGCTTTGGAGCTGGCTGCTTTGGCTAGGAGCTGGGCTAGGTTCTGTACAGTGCTGGGAGAGTCGATGGTGGCCACTGGCACATCCTTTGCAGAAATTGACTTGAGTGTTGGCTCAATAGCCTTGCCATTGCCCTCGAGAACATGGGGAGCCATCTTGCTTTGCAGTATGTTGATAATGAATAATGAGATTTGAAAGCTGTCTATGCTGTATAGATATTGATGTGTCGTCATGCTGCTTAAATAGTTTTTAAAGCATCCAGCTGATATATCCAACCCCACTTGCTGGCAGGTTATCCTTGCCTGTATCTCCCTCTCTCTCGCTTCTATACGATAAGCATGCCGATTCTGAGGCTCATACACCAGAGCACGCGCGTTCGGCGTACAGCGGCTACAGCTTGCTTCCCGTCAACGACTCCGGCCTCTCCTGCGGGATCAGAAATCCCTCAAAGAATTGGCCGATTCGTCTATAGTCATCTAGACTGAACACAGCAGATACGTCTAAAGTTTGTCAGTAGATCATTCCAAGGCTAGTTATGACGGAGGCTTACATTGATCTGGACGGACAATGACGATAGCACCCTTGTCAGGGCTGATACCGAGATGCTCGTAAAGGTGTCCATGACCTCTGTTGTAGCTCTCGTCATCAAAGAATATTTTGTGAAGATCTACATCCCGGTTAAATTGATTTTTTTTTTTTTGTCTGAGGCATTTAACTCACCTCTGATATGGTTCTTCCCCGTGAATGGATAGAAGCTCTGCGGGATCTGCTCCAGCTCGACGCCATGCCGTTTACCATGTGCCACGAGAATTGGCTCGATAAGGCTGTCAGGTTCGCCACTTCTCGAGCGGAACTTCTGAAGAGGGCTGTCATCGGAGCCGAGATACTCTCCAACCTGTACTCGGTCAGTATACTGCTTCATCCTGGCAAGGATTATCCCCCTAACGTACAGCTTGCAGTGCGGCCATATTCTGTGACACGCTGAGATCGCCCACAAACGCCATCACCCTCCAGCGGCCATCGGACTTGAGCGATGCAGCAAGCTGCAGCGGTTTGGCGTCACAGAATCGCACAACCTGCGCACTAGGCAACCTCATTCCCACCACGACGTTCGTGGCAAGTTCGGTCGACACGCCCGTATCGGAAGTAATAGGCGATTTATCGTACTTGGCCGTCAAACCTGCAGTGTATTTCCCAGACTTGATAAAGCCTTCTTGGAACTCCTGGGGCGTTGCACTCCCCTGAGAGGAGAACAACTTGGCGAAATACCGATCAAAGTTAATCAAATCAATAGCCACCTTCTGCCGCTCAAGCACATACGTCTCCAGCAGTGAGGGATGCGCCAAGCCCTTTAGCACCGAAGCAAGCTTCCAGCCCATATTGTAACCATCTTGTAAGCTGACGTTCATGCCTTGGCCCGCCTTCGGCGAGTGCGTATGGCAGGCATCGCCCGCAAGAAAGACACGGTAATCCTTGTGGAAGAAATCGGCATGGCGCTGCCCAATGGCGTAAGCAGACCACCAGACCGTCTCAACAAACTCAATCTGATACGGACTAAAAATCCGCTTCGCGGCGTTTTGCAGATCTTCCAATCTGACATCCTTCGCCTTAGTGCCAGTCGGAAGCTCAATGTAGAATCGAGTCAGATTGTAGCTGTCTCCTTCTCGGGGTATAATCAACAAATTGCCTGCCTTGGACCGGATGCTGGATTTCTTCCGAATATCGGGGAAGTCCGTTCGTGGAACCATGTCCATGACACCCCAGACAGCATCGGTGCTATCTCCAATCATATTGTATCCTAGCGCTTTGCGCACCGTACTATGTGCGCCATCACATGCCTGATAACATCAGCAATAACCCTCTCGAAGAGTAAAAGGTAACATACCAAAGCATACTTCGCCTCAAAACTCTCCACCTTCCCATCCTTCTCCGCCGTGACTTTAACCGGATAAGCTTCCGGCCCCGCCGAAAGCTGACTCTCATCAACCCGAACATCCTTGACAGTATACCCGTAATCGATCTCCTGGTTGTTATGTTTCTTCATCAGGTCAATGAGAAGCCCGTTGATGCGCGCCTGGTTCAGAATGACATGTGGCTGATGAGACAATCCAGGCTGCGTATCCGCCGTCTTGCCCGTGCGACGTATAACTCCCGAGCCACTATCATCGGCCCAAAACACGACCTCCACGACATGGTACGACTCGCGCAATAGCTCCTCGCCAATGCCGAAGCTCTCGAAGATTTCCACCGTACGGCATTGCACACCGTCTGCTTGGCCCATCGTCATGGGGCCATCCCGCCGCTCAAGCACTTTGCAGGTTATGCCATAGCGAGCCAGCCAGGTGGCTGCGCAGAGACCTGCGGAGCCGCTGCCACAGATCAAGACGTCGACTTTTTGTGTCATGTTGTGAGTTATTCTTGATTTTTTAAAAATTGTCTATAAAAGGCAGTCAAAGAAGGTGAAGAGTATCCTAAATATGATGAGTTGGAATGCGCCTGACTGGTCATACTTCAATTGCCTCCGGGATCGATTCCGGGGTAGTTCGGAATCGATCCCGGGGTCGGCACCTGCGCGGCATGTGTCCGTGCCTCGGGCACCGTCTGCACCAATGATCTTCAGTGTATTCAGTAACCATCTTCTCCGCAATCCGGGGTCCGGAGATACCGGTGGCAGTACATTATACCGGCGTACAAGTTGGTGTCTGAGAGTGAGAGGATAAACAACTGTGCTCATGCCATGCCTTCGGAGTGACCGGCAGATTATAAGACGCTAGGCCGAATTAGGGAAGGTAAGCAAATGGTTGAGATGCCGAGACTCGCAGCTCTGATACAAATCACGATTCACTGCGAAGTACCACGTTTTGATTGTAGAGGGCTCTAATTTGGGTGTTAGTTATACCTGGATCATTGTGTCAAAGCTATGTTAACAAATGATATTCGGTCATTTGTCGACGAAGCGCTACATCATGATCCATCAGACTCTGTCCGAGCTTTTATTGTTCCATGACTTCTATGATACCTCTGGAAGCAAGGATATGAAGTACGATTGATTGCCAGGGACCCAATAGTGAGTTTCTAGACGGCCACCAACGTGTGGAAGGCGCTGACCTCAGCTACAGTGGAAGGAGCAATGTTCATAACAATCATCTGATTCGTCATAGTTCGACTAAACAAACCCTCTGGACCAAGCTGTACCAGTATGCATAAAGGTGCCCTCATTAACTGTGTCCCAAATCGTAATATATGATGCTCGTAACCCGTCTTCACCCACAGTGCGTAGGCGCCATCTGTATCCACTCCCAACGCCAGCGCCGGTGCAGTAAACGCCTCATGTCTTGCGAAATGCAAGCGGACGAGAGAAGAAAAAGCGTATCCATGCGATATCTTACAGGAAGTACTCACTGCGGCCCGGCCGCGACGTCGGCACATGTCGTTGATCGTCACTGACCGCGCTGAAGAGCTTGAACGTCGGTTTTAGATCGTCGTCGATCTCGCACACGGAGGCGAGGTTGCCGCATCGGTAGCAGTAGTTGGGAGCACTCCACACGGTGACCACGTTTTGGTTGGCGAAGTGATACTTGTAACCCTCGTTGACCAATTGATGGGCTCGGGCGATCAGGGTCAGGTCATTGACATGGCAGAACTCGTCTGCAACCTTGTCTCCGAACAGCCAGCCTAGAAGGGTCAGTAAAAAGAGTAGCACATCGTGCTGAGGAATACGTACCGGCTCCTCTGGGACTCACTGCCCATGTCTCCACATCATCGGGGTCAGACCAGACCAGATCACAAAAAGCACCTTCGTGCGGAATCTCTTGGGCTCTCGCGACCACCCGCACTTGATCCAGTGTTCTAATCTCTGGGCTCAATCCACCGTGCACACAGAGCACCCTACCGTCGATGATGGCGCCCAATGTCATGAAATCGAAAACCTGGCAGCAAGCCTTCCATACGGACGCATTGCCATACTTCTGAAAGCACTCCTCGTAGAAACCGTAGACTTGAGTGATCTGGCGAGACTCGTGGTTACCGCGTACCAGCGTAACCCGATCAGGATACCTATATATACTGTTAGAATCGGTACAACCCTTCCAGTAAGGATAACTCACTTGGCCTTGAGGCACAGCAGTAACGTCAGTGTCTCCAGACTGAAGTATCCTCTATCCACGTAGTCTCCAAGAAATACAAAGTTTCGATTCAACGTAACCTCATTCGAGCCTGCGCTGGAAGACCGACCACGCTGGCTGTTGTTCGAGCCCGTCTCGTCCACAAGATCATCCGAGTTGCCGGAGTTCCTCAATTTCTTGCGCAACTTGGGATCGGTAATGGTGGAAGGGGGTTCGATGTCCTCCGAGGTGATGACGGAAGGCGACGTTTTAGGCGGCTCGACGTCAGGTTCATCGGGCATGCCTCCAGAGACCCGGAACAGCTCTAACAAATCGTAAAATTGACCGTGAATATCTCCACAGATGGTCACAGGTGTTGAGACCGGCTGAATGTTCGACTCTGGAAAATGCGACCCGTCAGTCTCTGGTGAATCGGTCGCCACCTGCTCGAACTAAAGCCCACCTTCCATCATAAATTCCTTGACTATCTCACAAAGCTGTTTCATATGGGACTCCGAGAGGTATTTGCAGTCCTTTGCGGCCTCCAGCCACTCATCAGGGCCAGCATTGCGCTTCAACTTGGCCGGTCCCGGCTGAGGGACCTTACTGTCCACCATGATGAATTTGTGCGTATGAGTGAACAAAGTGGGACCAGTGCAATTAAAGGCAGTAACAAAAGTAGAGTAATGAATAAACTAGTCTTTCCAAGGAAAGTCGCTCGTATACACCAAAGCACACGGGTTGCTTAGCGGGATGCGCGCCGGCGGTCTTTCCCCGCAGGGGATGTTGGCTTTGGGTCAGTGAAGATGCTCACGCTAATTCCCGGGCTCGGTCACGTGGTGCGGGCGGAATCTCCTGCACGATAACAGCTTCATCACTCATTCAGGCACAGCGCCACATGTGATTGCGGCTGCGGAGTGACTATCTTTTTGCTTTCTCTCACCTTACACCCTACTATATATCTGTCGTTTCAGTACAACATTTTCATCCCACTCCCTCAGCGATACTCCCATCCTCTAGTTAGGGCGGAAGTCCCAACACATCAACATATCGATCATGACGCAGATCCCTGCGGGCAAGTCTACAGGAGGTGTTCTCCAGATCCCCGCAGCTGC